CCCCCTCTGAATCTGGCTTTGAGCATGTGACCCTCCTTCCTCAACCTCCTGAGCTGCTGGGATTATAGGCATGCACAACCATACCCGGCTGAATATTTTTATTTTACTCTTTAACCCAGTTACCCAAATTATAAAAATTTATTGTGATGTTTTTGTTTTATGAATATCAATATTGCCTTATTTTTATCTAAAAGTGTTATGGTTATTTAAACTTAATCAGTAGTACTTAAGGACTGTATCATCTTTAATACATAATACTGTTGATCATGAATGGAATAATATATTATCCGTTCTTATATTACAAATTTATCCAAAAAATTATCAGCACAGTAATTAACAAATTCTAATATGTTACAATAAAAAATTTGGGTTGCCTCACCTTTTCTAATTTCTGCCATCATGGATAGACCTGTGCTGTGATTCTAATACTTTAAATTAATCTTAAAGTTTTTAGTTAGAGATACTTCCCTATCTTTAATCAATTTCTGCTAAAATGATTTAAAAGCCAGAAGGGAAGATTGAAAGGTATACATTGGAAATTTCTTTTTCTTAAAATTCTAAACTTTTGGGTGTAGTTATGTGTTAAATGCTAATCTGGGTACTTTGGAAGGATTCAAAGCTGCATGTCATTGATTTTTCTTAAAACAAAAACAAAGACTTAAACCAAAAACTTGTACTTAAGTCAGGGAGACAGCCTTAAATACATACAATAGACACGAAAGAAGGAAGTTGGGGGCGAGTATTGAAAGTGATTAACCTGTGGAATTCACCTAATGCAAGGTTACCAATAGGTATTTCGATCCTCTGTATCATTTTGTCTTTTTAGCAGCAAAATTAAGAGACAGAAAACTATAAGTAAATAAAATTTATTTGAACTGTTATAAAGTCAACAACAGTTTTTACACTTCAGTGCTTGATTGTGGGGAGGAGTGGGAAGATAGTGCCTCATTGATGATAGAGCAGTGGGGATGGAGGGATGAAGACTGCTCTCATGTGAATCTAGTGGTAGTGAAAGGCTGAAGGATACTACCTCCCAGAAAGGTTGGTAGTATGTGGTGAGCTGAGCTGTGATAGGTGGGAGTTGCTGAGTTGGCCCTCCCTGGATGACAATTGAACAGTGTTAGAATCTAAGTTTTGAGTCTCACTTATGCAGGTCCAAAATGTACTTAATTGGCATTATTATCTGGAGCTGATCAGATTCTTCAAAATGACAATTGACAGGGCTGGGGTTGTCTCAGTGGTAGAGCACTTTCCTTGCAAGCATGAGGCTCTGGGTTTGATCCTCAGCACCATATAAATAAATAAAAAAATAGGCTATTATGTCCATCTACAACTAAAAAAAAAAAAATTTTTTTTAATGCCAATTGACAAAATGGAAAGGAAGTCTTTGCTAGCATTAGTCATGCCAGCAGTGCGGGGCAGCTTCTCTGTGAAACCTGAGCTAGCATTATCATTTACCATTGAAGAATGAGGGATTTGAAGGCAAACCCTCACCGTCTGAGAAACTCTCTAGACTTGTTTTTTCATACGAAGCTTGTTGTAAAGATTAAGTAAGGAGATACGTTTAGCACAGAGCCTAGTTCAGACTATATGCACCATCAGTGTTGACAAATGATATTAAGATGTTGCTTGGTGAATACAGAAATAGAAAATAATGAGGTGGATGTTTGAACAGGAAATGTCTAGAATTACGCATTGGAATATCCGGAGAGGTAAATCTGAATCAGATTTTATCCTCATAACGCCTAAAATCATAGCCCTAGTGAATTAGTGCTGCTGGTGAAAGCGTGTATTCCTTGGGTATTTTAGGTTGGAGAAAAAGGTCAGTGGTCTTAAGAAAAATTTCATCTAAACCATGATATGTTCTGACTCTCACATGAGGCATGGTTGTCTTGGAACTTGAAGTAGGTTAATAGAATCATATTATTCCTGCCATCTTAATTGATTACCTCAGACATCCCTTACAGATGGAGAAGTATAAAGAATGATAAGTGAACCTATCACATTGCTTAAAAAAGAAAATATCATAATATACTTGGTAGGCCTTGATTTGAAAGCAACGAGCTTCTTATTTCTTTGTTACTTGAGTAACTCATTGAAGGTAATGATTTGATTCTTTCTAATTTCACTGTCATGGGAGCCTAGATTACCATTATAGGTTGGGGGTTGTCTCACTTTACTTACCTCTTCTGGCCTCTTTTATAGAAAAAAAAAATGGTATTAACTTGGGTTTTTTTGGTATTGTTGTTTTTAATCTGTTTTAAACAGGTGAAACTGAACAGTATTTTAAAGAATCCCATGAAGGAGAACCTTTGGAAGAGCTAGAAAGCACTAAGGAGTCCAAATCATCATGGAAAAGAGTTTCTTTTGGGAGGTAGCCCACAATGTCTGAATTTTATCAAAACAAATTGTGCTTTCTCATCTACTAAGAATTAAAATTGCACGTAGTATACCAGAATGGTACCCAAAAAAGCTAATGTGAACATTTTTACTAACTTCTTCTTTTTTATACCTTTTTGAGGGAGTTTTATGAACATGAGCTACATATAATACTAATTCTCCATCTTAATTACCTACTCATTTTTCATTTGTCCCTTGATCATGAAAAGATCATCATTTTTTCCTTGTTCATCCTCCTTTGAGTAAACTTGTAAAGTACAGAGAAATTCTTTTATGTGTGTGTGTGTGTGTGTGTGTGTGTGTGTATGTGTTTTTTTTTTTTTTATTTTTAGTTGTAGCTGAACACAATATCTTTATTTATTTTTACGTGGTGCTGAGGATCAAACCCAGGGCCTTGCACGTGCTAGGCAAGTGCTCCACCACTGAGCCACAACCCCAGCCCCAGAGAAATTCTTTAACAGCAAGAAAAAAGATGAAATTTGTCATGTAAAACTAAATATTGCTGTTAACATTTTGTTATATTTTAGTCCTTTATATATTTTTTTTGGATGAAGTCATACTGTTTGTAGGCATTATCTTTATTTAACACATCCAATCTTTTCCCAAGTTGTCAAACTATCTATAATATTTTTTTTTTAGTTTTTAGTATTGAACCCAGGACAATAGTGCATGCTAGACCAGCATACCACTACTAAGCTACATACACCCTCTGCCCTGCAGTAAGTTTTAATTTTATTTTACTTTATTTATTTAGCATGAGCCCTTGAGCCCAGGGCTTCATGCATGCTGAGTAAGTGTTTTACCACTGAGCTACATCACTAGCTTTTTCTTTTTCTTATTTTGGGATAGGTTCTTGCTAAGTTGCCTAGGATAGCCCTGAACTTGTTATCTTCCTGCTTCAGGCTCTTGAATACCTGGGATTATAATGACTATGTATCATCATTCACGTAGTTATAACATAATTTACTACTCCAATCTTATAATGTGGAGGTTTGTGATGGTGATGATGATGATGATGATGATGACGACGACGGTGACGACAAAATTCTTAAAAAGCAAGCCAGGCAAGAAGATTGTAAATTTGAGGCCAGACTGGGCAACTTCGCAAGACCCTATCTCAAAATAAAAAGGGCTGGTGACATAGTTTAGGGGTAGAGTGACCCTGGGAGGGGAGCCTTCTTTTATTCTCCCTTTCTCTCATGTCTTTAGGTTAAATTCAGGGTAAAAGAGTATGAATGTTTTAAGGCTATTAATAAAAGTTGCCAAGTTTTTCAAGGAGGCCATGACTAATTTACATCCACCAGCAGCATGAAAGAGCAGGTACTTCATGAGCCATTTTCATTGATCAATATCAGTTTTAAAATTTATGCTACTTTCATAGACAAAATATATTGTTGTTACAGATTTGATTGTACTCCTTGCTAACTAAAACTTGAACATAATATTGTGATTTTCTTTTAAATATCTAAATTTTGATTTTTTTATGGAGTATGTCATGGTTTGAAAAACACAGGCAATACCTTTTTTTGGAGGGGAGAGGTACCACGGATTGAACTTAGGGGCACTGAACCACTGAGCCACATTCCCAGCCCTATTTTGTATTTTATTTAGAGACAGGATCTCACTGAGCTGCTTAGTACCTTGCTTTTGAACTCACGATTCTCCTGCCTCAACCTCCCCAGACCCTGGGATCTTAGGCATGTACCACCACACCTGGCTGGCAAATACCTTTTTTTTAGGTAAAGTACATTGTGAAAAATGTCTCAAAGGAGACCCATCATAAGGTGAAATTCTTGACTTTATTTATCATTATATTTTAAAAAGTAAAACAATTGCAAAAGTGAGACAATTCAAAGATATTTAGTGCAAAATTAATGCCCTACCAGACTTCCCTCCACTCTTGCACTTTTAGATTCACCCGTGTTAGCTGTCCTCTGTATGTATTCTGTCCATTTCATCCTTGACACTTTATACACAGTTTTTTTCATTATATATCTATCAACACAAAACAAGCAGCAAGGATTGATAAGCATTAAGAGGAAGATCATGCACTATCATTTATTTTGTACATCTCAGGCTGCAGGCATGCTAGGCAAGTGCCTTACTGCTGAGTTACTTCCCCGGCTCTGTTTTTTTTCAATTTTTTTGCACCTAGAAAATGAGCAATCTGAATACCTGCAGGCTGGATGTTGGAAGCAGGAAGGGTCCTCTATGGTCAGGCTGGGCCCTGAGTGAGTGAGAATTTCTTTCTAGGAGCTCCTCCTCACCTGAGGCTTTGGGACCCTCTTGGGATGAAGATGAAGCAGAATCCACTGGTGAAATAATTAGACTCGGAGACACAGCACACACCTTTTCTCTAAGAAGTAATGGTGAGTAGTTAATATCAGTTATTATTCAGTATGCTGTTAAAACAATATGAAGATTATGTTCTTTAATATTAGAAGAATAGAGTCCTAATTGAACCTCAGCATTGAAATTCCAGAATAGCACCATTATGCACTAAATATGAATAGTAGTCTGAAATCATAGGCAAGTAGGAGTCACAAGCACAGAGGCACATAAGATCAAGGCAAATCTATGGGTGCAAGGTTGTCATGTACTTTGTGGGACCTGATATCCCGAGAAGAGAATTGTGGATGTATCTTTACAGTTTAGTCAAAATTCTGGAGTACCTCTTTCCCAAATTGGACATTTTTCATCATTTCAACTAATAAGTTCATACTCCAATAGCAAATTTCCTCCCAGGCTTTAGGCCATATTTCCAATAATCTGCTTACACACAGTAGAACTGTGTGTAATATCTCTCATTCCCAGTTTCAGGCCCTGTGACTATCCTACCCACCTTGCATGCCATGTTCATCTTTGACATATATTGTTGGGGTGCTCTTTCTTCCTATTACTGACAAACTCACTCTCCATAGCCCAGCCTCTCCTACCTGCCTCAGGCTGTCAACTCTGCGTTCTCTCTTCCTTTCTATTAACACCATTCCCACATTGCTTGGTAATTTATAGCTTGTTGTGTAAACTGTGAATTCCTGGGAAAGTGGCCACATCATAGTCATTAGGCAAATACTTACTTGGTGCTTTTCCTATACCACGCAGTGGTGAGAGAGTTGGGAACAAAACAGGCACAAATTCCTGCCTTCATGGAATTTACATTCTACCTGTGAAAACTGCTGATAAATAAAAATATATAGTAAGATTATTCTTGTTCATCATAATTTTTCAAAACTTAGGAAAACACCCATCCCAAATAAGTATTTTTTGAATAGAAAGACAAGAATGCTACCCCATAATTAGTACTTTGAATTGGAAATCAGGTGGTCTGCTTTCTCATCCAGACTCTGCTACTGGCTGTGTGACTTTGGACAAGGTTCTTACCTTTTCTGAGCCCCATTTCTTCAAATTTGAAATAAGAGAATTGGACTAAACCAACATTAAAGTCCCTGTAAGCACTAATACTCTAATTCCAAGGAATGGATGCTGCACTCCTAAGAAATTATGTTCAAAAACCCAAGTCTGAACATCACAGTAGACCAAAGACATGAGTTTGTCATTGAGAGAGGCAAAGTAAAGGACTTTTAGCACCATTATGCACTAAATATGAATAGTTGTCTGAAATCACAGGCAAAGTGTAAAGTATAGTTATTTCGTAAGAACATTACTTGAAGGAAGTCAGATACATTCACAGTGGAGGGGATGGTGATTTTAGAAATGGGTCCTCTGATATTAAGTGCCATGTAAACTAAGTACAACAGTAAAAGATGATTTACTATTCAAGAATCTCTAATCCAGAACTCTGAAGGACTGCAAAATCTTAAACTCTGTGAGCCACTGACATGATATCACCAGTGGAAAATTCTACACATGACCTCATATAACAGATCATAGTCAAAATTCAGGAAACACTAGAAATAGTGTATAAAATTACCTTGGGCTGTGTATATGAAACATAAATGAGTTGGGGCCCATCCCTAAGATCTTATTCTGTATGTGCAAATATTCCAAAATCCAAAATACTTCTGATCCCAAGCATTTTGGATAAAGGATACTCAATCTATACTTGTTTTCAAATTGTAGAGAGTGGAATTTGATTTAACGTTTTTAAGGCAAAGGAGAAAAGGTTGAGAAGGAAGCTAGCAAAGGTATTTGGGATTGATTTGATGAAAGGGCTTATGGCAGCTTCCTTTTATCATTAGATTAAGATGTCAACTGTCACATTCACAGGTATCTAATTTAGATTTTAATTTCTGAACTGTAACTCTTTGATTATGGTACTAGCCACAAACCCTAATTCATTTAACATCTTTATACCTAGAAATGCCCATATAACAATCAGCATTTCTACAACTCTAGCACCTATTTTTCTGAAGCAGAGTAATGAAACATTGAGTAAAATCTTGTTTTCAAGTCGTAAAAGTGATTCTGGACTATAGAACTGCCTTTTAATATGTTAGTTATTAAAAATAATTGGTATCTTTCAACATTCCTCTTGGCATTTAGTATAATATTTAGCAAACATTTTGATAGATAAAAAATTTACCTTTATTTTCTTTCCTAGGTGCTCAAAGTCCTGTCCACAAGCAGTCTAAAAAAATGTCACCCTCACCAGTTGCAAAACTACAGGAAGATATGTTAAACCCTCCCTCATCTAGTTTTCTGTTCAAGGATAGGACATCCTTTGTTGAAGATAGTGAGTCGTAATGTGTTGTTCGTTCTTTAGTCTATTCCTGGGTTGACACAGTCATTGTCCAGGACATTTGCTAATGGTCTTTTTACTTAGTTGCACTATATAAGAATCTTTTTGGTTTTACGTGATCTTATTTGTAATTGTTTTTTCTTAATTCTGAGCTCTAATTTCTGCTTAATATGGTCTTTGGCCACACATTTTTTTCTTTTTTCTTTTTTTTTTAAGGCAAAGGTGCTTTTTTAATTTTAGTATCTTTATTTTTATTTATTTCTTTAATGTGGTGCTGAAGATCGAACCCAGGGCCTCAGGCATGCGAGGCAAGCGCACTCTACCTCTGAGCTACAACCCCAGCCCCACCACATATTTTTACTTCCCCTGTTTTATTATCTAAGTCATCTTCTCTCAAAATATTTGGGGTTTTTTGTTTTTCTTTTAAGGATAATACAGTCTGATACATTTGTATATGTATATATACATACAGTTGATGGTCTTCAACTTATAACTGAATAACAAAATATAGTACTTGAAAAATATTCCTATTTATTACAGAATTTTTATATGGTAGTATTACATAAAATCATTGTTAATGGCCAGCTGGTTTTCTAACATGTGAATGAACCATAAGTTTACACAGCCATTCTTTAAACATTGGTTGCTTCCAGTTTTCATTATTTTTATTTCTTTGGGGATTGAACCCAGGAGCACTTTACCACTGAGCTATATCCCCACCCTTTATTTTTTGAGACAGGATCTCACTAAGTTGCTGAGGCTGGCCTCAAACTTGTGAACCTCTTGCCTCAACCTCCCAAGTCACTGGAATTACATGTGTGTATCACTTTGCCCAGCTCATTATTTTTAAATAACTTTCAGGGTCCATTTTTATACTATATAATATTAAGGTTACTTTCATTCTGATTTAATTAGATTTCTACTTGTTGGCTAAGGATGTATCACTGCTTTAATTATGTTTTGTGTTTTTTATTTTTAATCAAGTTAAAAAGATTTGTGTGTGTGAATGTATTTATATAGGTGTAGGTGTATGTAAAATGATTTATGTCTTAGAGTTTCATCGTAGATCCACTTTAATTTGTCCTACTAGTGGAAACCCCTTCTGTGAGTATGGTTCCAAGCGCTAGAAAGCTAGGGGAGCCCATCCGAGCAGCTATTCCTTTACATCCACCCTACCACCCTTCAGAACCTCGAGCACCCTGCCCTATAGGAAAAGAATACCTGCGTGCAAGTCACTTCTCCCCTGCCGGGAATTCATCTGGAGAGCACACGGCATTTTCTGTAAGTGGAAAAATTTGCTTGCATTTGGTTAGAAAGCCCATATTTTTAAAAATTCATTTACTTATTGTACTGGGTGTCAAACCAAGGGCCTTTCTTTTGCTAGGCAAGTGCTCTTCTACCACTGAGCTCCATCTCCAACACCAGAAGCCTATCTATTTAGAGGTCTCTTGTTAGAATAAGTCAAGTATATTGCATTGACCAAAGCATTGTACTTCTTAAAATCTACTTCTACATACCCCTGCATGTTCTTGTTATAGGAAGGTTGGGATAAAATAAGTGTATTTTATCCCAGGCACAGTTTTGGGTACTTTACAGGTGTTGGATAATTTATTCTTCCAAACAGTTCTGGAGAAATCATTATATTTTCTATGGAAACTGATGTAGAGAGGTCCATATATTGTCTGAGTTTACACAACAATTATTAGAGGCAGGATTTAAACTCAAGCATTCTGACTTCAGAACACTGTTGTATATCCCCAATTAAATACTTAAAWATGTTTGAAATATTGGAAAATGTGAAAAAGCAAATTGCCACTGGGCACAGTGGTGCATGCCTATAACCCCAGCTCTTCAGGAAGCTGAGCTTGGCAAGTTTGAAGCCAGCCTGTGTGATTTAGTGAGAGACTATCTCAAAATAAAGAGGCCTGAAATGTTCTCAATGGTAGAGCAACCCTAGGTTCAATCCCAACTACTGTTTTAAAGCCGGGGGCAGGGGGGGTGGAAATCTATTCATCTGTATTTCCATTGTCAGCATGAACCCCTGTTATTATCTTGGCCTGTTGGCTTTTATTTTTTTCTTATGGAAGGGATGGAGAAACCCGGTCCCTTTAAAAAAAAAAAAAAAAAAAAAGTATATATATATATATATATATATATATATATATATATATATATATATATATATATTCTGCCCATATCTTCCTAGAAAGAACAGGCAAATATGTGCCAGGGTAAATTTATAAACAATGATACATTCAATTCTCATTATTAAAAAGTTCAAACAGTGCAGAAAAGGTACAAAGATGAAATAAACATCATTAGCATTAGGTAATCATCATTTTAAACATTCTCTGTGTCTGTTCAGATAGGAGGGTGGATACATTAAAGAGAGAGAAAGAAAGGGGTCATAAGATAATGGTTACCTTTGGGGAAGTCTTGCCGWGATGGTATAATGCCGTTATTGGTAATTCTTGTTTCTTCACTAGGGTGGCAGTGAATGGGAGAATTCATTTTGAAATAATTCACTAAGCTGGACATTTAAATTTCATTTTAAAAGTTTTTAAAATTTGATTAATTATTGCTATTTACTAAACTGTACTAAATTTAATAGAAGAAAAGGATTCTGAAGTGTAATTGAGGATATCATTAAATACTAAATAATGTTTATCACAAGAAATTTTCTAAGATTCCCTCTAGGAGATGGGTGTGTGGTTCAATGGTAGAGTATGTATGCTTAGTGTGCTCAAGGGCCCTGGGTTCAATCTGTAGCACCAAACATACAAGCAAAAAAGATTCTCTCTAAGGTTAAGAAAATATTATTGAAAGTGTTGGGTCTATATTTATATTTTGGGAAGTTTCAGGTTTGTTTAAAAGTGTTTCAATTTTAGACAGTTTTAGTTGATTGATTCTTCAATAGAAGAGATAAAAATTTGTGATTTGATCATTTGTAATTGTCTAGTTGTAGGCATTATCCCTGAAATTTCATGTTTGAGAACGCCTCACCTGGCTTTATATTAGAATAGCATTCTAAGCCACACTTTTCCTCTGAGTAGAAATGATAGACATGCTCCAGTCCTTTAACATTGAGTATCAATATGCATTTAAAAATAAAGGAAATTGAAGAATCTAGCTTTGGTGCCACAGTTTTATTGCGTCCCACCATCAAAAGGATTTTGCCTGTCGTCTTTGTAGCTTTTTCAAATTAACTTTGTTCTGTGTTAATAGGAACCAGATGATAGAGTTACCTTAACTTCCAAGTTGCCTGACAATAGTGAACAGGAAGCCTACCCAACTCGGGTCCCCAGCCCCAGAACAAGGAAGATTCCCAAAGGAAAAAGGTAACACTACCCAGGCTTACATGTTGATAGTTTGTTTGCAAATGGATTTGAAAAGTGAAGGGTACACTCTACAAATTTAGCTGTGGAAACCAGTATGAAATATATATTAAAGTATATATTACATGGTTATTTTGAACTAAATAAAGTATACGTGGCTACTTAAATGTCACATGGTCACTTTCGTTACAGAAGTGAAAACAGAGCTGCAGTCTCATCATGGGATTCACCTTCCCCGCAGAGGTCAAGAAAGAGGTTAACAGAACAAGAACTACATGTAGTGTCAGAGAAACTCTCTCAACGGCTCTGTGAGCTAGATTGGGCAAGTTTTGTTTTTTAATGTATAATTACTATGGTTAGTGAGCATTTCAGTGTCTCCCAGTTGAAGTTGAAAGCTAAGCTTAGGTATTGGAAAATCAGTTGAGTCTTAGTTATTGTGAAAATGTTCTAGAAGTCAAACAGGTAAGACATGAATAATGATCTCTTAACCTTTCTTGATATAACCAAGTATGACACAGATTTGTCCAAATTATATTGACTTCTGATGAAAACTAAATCATTTAATATACAAGTTAATGTTAAACCATTTATCTTTAGTTTCCCTTTGTTATTAAAGATGGATCTGATATAAAGTTGGATGGATCACTGATTGCCACAAAATGCAGTGAGACAACATTGAATTAATTAAATCCCTACTTGACTTACTGTTAAGCTTACTGAAACTGAGTAGCTGGTAGCATCAATATCCAGCCTTTAAAAGCTAAAGATGCATAAGCATCTGAAAGCTTATTATTAGTAACTATCAGAGGAAACTTTAAAAGTCTGCTGTCTACTTCTACTAATTTACATTCTGTTGAAATCAATGAAAGATGTTGAAAAGAATTTTCTCAATAGATGTTAAAAAGTGCTCTGGGTGATCGAATTAAAGAAAAGACTGTCTATGAAGAAGATATTATAAACAAAGAGATGGCGAATGGAAATGAGGAGACACTTTCTCAACATAGTGACAGCATCATGGAATATGAGCCAAAGAAGCTAAGGCCAGGTACAAACCCAGAGGGACCTAGAATGGTGGTGTCCATGTGAACTACTTAGGTCGTTCTGTGTGTTTTTAATGACTTTCTCATTTGAAAAATTTCAGAAATATGCAAAAGGATAAAAAAAAAATAGCACTTTTTTTTTTGGTACTAGGGATTGAACCCAGGGACACTGTATCATTGAGCTACATGCCAAACCTTCTTTTTTATTTTGAGACATGGTCTCACTAAGTTGCCAAGGCTGGCCTTGAACTTGCATTCCTCCTGCCTTAGCTTGGGGATTGCAGGGGTGTGCCACTAGGCTGGGTTTATGACTATTTTCATACTTTGACTGTTTATATATTACTTATCTAAACATACTATTGTTTTATGTTCTTTTAAAATTTTACATAGGGCTGGAAATACAGCTCAGTGTAGAGCTCTTGCCTAGCATGCCTGAGGCCCTGGGTTTGATCCTCATCACTCCCCAAAAAAAACAAAAATTAAAAAAATTTACATAGATACTATATATATCATTCTTCAGTCTGCTTTTTTTGTGTGTGTTAACATTGTTTTGGAAATCTATTTTGATACTTAAAGGTCCAGCTAATTCATTTTAGCTGCGGTATGACCAAATTTGCAGATGTATCCCATTGGTATGAGCATATATGTCACTATTTATTCATTAGGGAAGAATCTGGACTGCTTAGACAGTACTTAACCATGTTAACTTTTGTTTATAAGTATTCTACTTTGTAAGTATTTATAAGCTATGTGTATATATTTTCATCTTCTCCTTAGGATCTAGAATGCAGACACATGGCCCAGATAATTTATCTTTTCTCCATCTAGATTCTCCCCCCATTGCCAGTCAAGGAACTTTATGCATATAAATTCATATTGAATCTAATATTGAATTCAATCCAAAATTGAATATATAACTAAATGCTTGAGATGGTTCATATTTGTATTCATTTGTCTGTTTACTTGGTATGACTAAGTATACAAATATGAATTAGTTATAATACATTTAGCACACTTACTTCTCCTTCTCTTTGGATTTGGTGAGAACCAACTAATTGGTTTCCAGCTTAACATTCTGCCTGTCAGGAACTAATGGTAAATGGCCTTTCTGTGTTGCAGGATTTCCCAAGCACAAAAAGCCACCTTACAGATCCCATTCGCTTTCTCCATCTCCAGTTAACAAACACAAACAGTTCCAGATAGAGAGAAGGCGGCAGCGTAAGCCAAAAGAAACAGATATCCGCCATTTCCAAGCAAAGGTACTTCTCCATTCCTTGACTGTTGTTGGGTAGGAGACAATGCCATTTATCCTTGCTATCCTGRATTAAATTAGCATGCTGTTGATTAAAGGTTTTGAGTTGAGTGGATGATAGAGAATTATGTGATATGGTCTATGTCCCTCTTAAGGAGAATAAATCATGAAATTCTCAAGAATGTTAGCTTATTGTTCCAGTGGATTAAGGAAAAGATCGGTATGAGTTGGTATTTTCAGAGAGAACTTAAGATATAAGGGGAATTTGAGGTGGATTACACATGATAGATCATTTGAATTACATGATGGGCCACTGAGTATCCATTGGAGGAGATGGTTGGCCTCCAACAAGGAGACTGGTATGATGATGATTGCTGAGGACGACTTTCTGCTGTGGCAAAGGGATTTTGAAATGTTGCATAAATGTAGGACACTTAGTTGTTTGCTTTAGTAGGTTTCATAATCTCCCCACCTCCTTTTCTTTTTTTGGCAGTACTGGTGATTAAACCCAGGACCTCACATAAATGAGGCAAATGCTRTACTGCTGAGCCCTTTTTAATTTTATTTTGAGACAGGGTCTCACTAAGTTGCCCAGTCCTCCTGGTCTCAACCTCCTGAGTAGCTGGAATTACAGGCATATACCACAACAACTTTTCTTTTTGTGGTACTGGGGACTGAACCCAGTGGCCCTCTACCCCTGAACCACATTCCCAGCCCTTTTTATTTTTTGTTTTGAGAGAGGGGCTCAATAAGTTGCCTAGACTGGTCTTGAACTTGGGTTCCTTCTACCTCAGCCTCCTGAGTAGCTGGGTATACAGGCATTTGCCTCAGTGCCCAGCTGTAGTATTTATAATAGTGAAAACTAAAATTAATTCAAATGTCTTACAGTAGTTATAATCAGTATGTAATTCATCATGTAACTTCCATTTAGGGGAGTATCAAAATAATTATAAAACCTGTGAGAAAAAAATGCATTATGTAAAATTTCATTTTATGTCCCAATTACATATCTTTTAAAACAACGTGTATAGAGCCTGAAAGGAACTGTTTATAAAAAGGTGGGAGAGAATGAGCTTGATATTTTTGGCTTGAAAGGTTCCTAGATGAATTTTTCCCCTACATATATATGTGGGTTTTTTTGTTTTGTTTGTTTTTGTGGTGCTGGGGATTGAACTCAGGGCTTTGTGCATGCGAGGCAAGCACTCTACCAACTGAGCTACAGCCCCAGCACTCACATGTATGTTTTTTAACAACTATAATATTATATAACCTTTCCCCATTTAGGCATTAACTGAAGCATTTGAAAGGGAGCTAAGAAGAAATAAAATTCAAGACAATATTGGATCTCAAAGGATAAATGAGGAGGAGGAGGAGGAGGAAACAGTGGGTAAAAGTCTCCACTATAATAAATGCATTTGATCAGATCAGTGGGAAGTACAGTTTTTTTTTTTGTTGTTGTTGTTTTTTTAAAAAAAAGACCCAACAGGGYCTTAATCAATAGCTATTTAGGAAAAGACAGGATTTCATTTCCTAATTTCATAATGTAGGATTTTTTTCCTTACTCATAGTCAGGTTGCTAAGATACAGCAAGACATGATACCAGAGAAAGCTAGTGTTTTCCCTTCTGCCTAAAACTTGTATCAATTTTTATGAGTTTCTACTTTCCAGTTCACCAGGGGGTTAAAAAATTGCATAAGCTGACCAAGTTAACGGGGAATAAGAGAAGACAGAAGCCAAGTTGCTTTATTGAGTATGAGAAACCCAAAGCATGTGTAATGCTTTTCAAAAGGTTGACTACAGAAACTAAATAAAAGCATGGGGAAATGCTTTTATTAAATGTTACTGAACAAAATGGGTTATGAAGTACAATGTGGTCACAACTAAACCTAATGCATAGTTGCTTGGGAATTTTTTTAATCTATGTGGGAAAAGTTCTGAAAGAAACAAGCATATCACAGCATTAATACTAGGTGTATTTAGCGTGTGGGACAAGGTGACTGAAAACTTGAAAAATTCCAAGGGACACCAATGGCCAAAAGATGTCTTTACCTTAGAATAAACGAACATTAGCTAGATTTTTAGAGATTTAGAAGAAAGGTGATTTGTCGAGGGATTGGTTAGCTATTTTGTCAGTATAAAATGTTTAAGATGATGTATGAAAGAGTTTTACTTACTTCCATTCTGTTCCATATCTGCTTTGAAGGGAAAAATATACAGAGAAGTCATTCATACAAGAACTCCCAAACATAGTCAGCCCTGGAAGATTTACTCCAGAAAATCCACAACTCAGAGTTCAAGAGGTGGCTTCCAAAGGCCAAATAAAGCAGCTCCAAGTAAGAACTACAGAATTGTACTTTATGAAAAACTGGCCAACTTTGAAAGTATGCACTGCATTCCAAGGATAGCTTTGCAAACTAACATCCACCAGTTAGCAGCAGAAAGTGACTCTTTATTACTGCCATATGGCTGGTTTTCTGTAAAGAGAGCTAAAAACTCTGAAGAATTGCCTTAGGGAAGCCTATATATTTACACCAAGAAAAAGCTGGGGCTACCACTCACAGCTCCAGCTTGAGCCTCACTCTGGTTGCCTTTTTTTGTTTTTGTTTCTGGGAAGTTGGTAGAATGCAAGGGATGCTCGAAGGCAAACAGATGGCCTGTCCAGCCTCTATATACTGATAGTTGGGTCATGTAAAATGCCAGATTTTCAACTATTCCCCAAAGATGACTGGCCTTCCAGCTACATGCCATTAAACAGAGTTTTTCTTCTAAGCACATGCCTACTAGGAGGGCTGACGAATCTTTTAACACATAGGAAGCATCCACCTACAGGTGCTGAGGCAGCCAAGCAGTTGGTATGCACTTTCAGGCCTAGCATATCATCAGTAAGAATGTTGAGCTTATCTTCATCCCTAACAGGTAGCTGGCTTACTCTGATCAAAGAAGGAATGCAAAAGTGATGAGTACATTTAGAATGGCTTTTTTCAGGATCATCACCATATCAACATACCAGGAAGATGGGGTAAGAGTTCTTATTGGCACGTTTCCCAAATTAAGAGCATCTTATTTGTCCTTACAGTGAAAGTAAATGAACACAGTCTCTTGCCCCTTATGCTGGAGCAGTTTCCATTTCTCTATGTTTCTGGCCCAACACTAAGCAAAATGTGGAAACAACAAATTGCACATGTTGAACAGCTCAATAAAGAGGCACACAGGGACAGTCGATCAAAGAAGAAACTCCAGGATGAAGTAAGTTACCAACAGTTTGCAGTGTAGGAATATAAACCAGAAAGGGGAAGATCTTGTACTTGAACATCATTGTTAACTTGCCTTGTTATTTCCCTTAAAGATAGAAGAAGCCCTGAGAAGGCATGAAATCCTCACTTCCCTTGTCAAGAAAGAATATGAACATAACAAGAGACTGGTATGTTAAGAACAAGTTGGGCATTCTAATTTTGAACTTAAAAGGAAATAAGTATAACTTAGTTTCTATCTGTATAGCTGAGCAGTACAGATTCTTCTAACACTTGCCTGCAGAAGCAATGAGGGCTTTATCCAAAATTGATTAGGGGCAAATGCTATAGAAATGCTAAATACAATTTTCCCCCCAGTGCTGGGAATTGAATTGAACCCAGGGGCACTCTACCACTGAATGGGTGAAAATATCTGAATATTTGAGTTGGAGGCTTTGGATATAGGACCTCATTTCATCCTCATTGCTTTGATATTGTCCTAATTAAATATTGACAACTCAAGCTTAAAAGTCCAGAGTGCCATTTTCTTGTTCTTGTTAAGTAGGCATTGGCTGTGACTTAGTGATCTCTGGTAGAGTGAGGAGACGAGACCCTCAAATTTGGGAGGTGCTCAGGTCCTGGCTGCTCTCTGCACTGTCGGGTCTTGCCAGTGCTGCTCTTCAGATCAAGGTGATGAAGCTGCAAAGGATGAGGGTTTCTGGGAACTGATGGTCTTTCACACTCTGTGCAGGATGCAGGGCCACTGTCCCTGCATGGCTGCCTTTCTGCTCAAAGACATCTTAAGGGACTCTGGGGGAGATGTGATGCTTGTATATGCCTTCCTCTTATCCTTACATCCTCTTCTCCTTTCCTAGCAAGACTTCAAGGACTGCATTTATAGACAGAGGTTGACCCAATCAAAAATAAAAGAAAATCGTCAGCAAATTATTCGTGCCCGAAAATATTATGATGATTATAGAGTTCAGTTGCGTGCAAAAATGATGAGAATGAGAACCCGGGAAGAAATGGTAAGTGTGTTCTTTCTCCCCAGCCCTGTTAAGAAGGTAAATTGTGTCTTACATTTTAGGACTACTTTCTTTGTCATAAGTCTTGCCTCAGTTTAAATCTGAAATCCGAGCCAAGTGGCACACGCCTATAATTCCAGTGACTCAGGAGGCAGAGGCAGGAAGATCACAAGTTCAAAGCCATCTTCAGCAACTTTAGCAAGACCCTGTCTCAAAATGAAAAATAAAAAGGGCTGGGGATATAGCTTAGTGGTGAAATGTCCCTGGTTCAATCCTAGTACCAAAAAAAAAAAGAATAAGTAGCGTCTCAAACCTGCTGAACAGATTTCTTTTCCATGGCTCCCCAAATGCCAACCACCTCATGTAAGTGTTGCACAGAAGTGCAGCATGTTTTGCTCTGGAGTTCCTGCCTTATACACATGGCTGCTTGAGAATTCGTTTCTGGAAGCGAGCAGTAAAGGATCTCTGTGATAAGTGAGAAAATACTGAACATTATTAATCAAATACACATCAAAACTACAATATATCACTGACATGCACAAGAATGGGAATACAAAAGACAAAAGTCAGTTAAGGATGAGAAGCTGGAACTCCCATGCAGGGATAATGAGGTTGTAAAGTGGTGTGACTGCTTGGGAAAACAACTTAGCAGTTCCTCCAGAGGACCATAAAGAGTTAATGTTACCCAGTAATTTTATCCTTAGGTATGGATGTACACACATATTCATAGCAGCATTATTTCTAATGTCAAAAGGGGGAAACAACTAGTATGGATGAACAAAATAATAATTAAATGTAAATATAATTAAAATATAAACTCATGTAGAATATTTAACAATAAAAAGGAATGAAGTACTGATATATACTGTAATGTAGATAAAACTTGAAAACATTGGGGCTGGGGATGTGGCTCAAGCGGTAGCGCGCTCGCCTGGCATGCATGCGGCCCGGGTTCGATCCTCAGCACCACATACCAACAAAGATGTTGTGTCCGCCGAGAACTAACTAACTAAATAAATATTTAAAAAAAAAAAAAAAAAAAAGAAAACATTATGCTAAATTATGCTAAGAGAAAGAAGTGTCCAGAACAGGCAAATCCATATATAGAAAGTAGATTAATGGTGCTAGCTAAAAGGAGGGGTATATAGGGAGTGACTGCCAACAGACATGGGGTTTCTTTTTGGAGCAAAAATGTTCCGAAACTAGCGGTAATGATGGCACAATTCTGAATTATTCAAAGCTACCAAAGTATACATTTTTAAGAAGGTTAGTTTATGATATGTGAATAATAGTAATAAAGCTTCCCGTTTTTAAAAATCTGTAAAAAAAATACTATTGGTATTTACCTGTAGTTGAGCAAAACGATCATGAAGTTCAGCTTAAATTTATCTTTGTCATTAAATGACAGATATTTAAGAAGCTGTTTGAGGAAGGTTTACAAATTCAGAAACAAAGATTACAAGACCTGAGAAACTATGCCAAAGAAAAAAGAGACGAAGAAAAGAGACAGCATCAGAATGAACTGGACTCGATGGAGAACTACTATAAGGACCAGGTGGGCTCATTAGAATGTGTTGGATCTTGACCACCTGTGTCAAAAGTTGGCTTAGTATACAGACAATAAACCTCTGTTTGTTAACTCAGAACTTTGCAGACTGTATAAATTACAATGACTCTATTTCCAAGACAAATTTAAGATAAAATAAGCTAGTGCTTGGCTATAGTATATTGTATTGCTTTTTTCATTTCTAAGAAAAGATTTTAAGCCTGTGAACAGGGTTTAATGTTTTCAGTCCAAATGTAAAAATTCTTACACTAAATAAGATTTCTTTTTCTTCCCTATAAACAGTTTTCATTGCTGGCAGAAGCCATATCACAGGAACGTCAGGAACTCAAAGCCCGAGAGAAATTCCAGGCTCAGGTAATAATTAACAGGATAGAAATTTTCTAGAAAATAGAAAACAGTATTGTACCTTTTAGGGAATGGAGAGAATACTAATAAGATAATCCATTTACCATTCAAGATATTTGTCCTGTGAGTTTAACTTCACTCATTCAGGTCTCTATAAGAGCTGCTGCTAAATTATAAATTTATTGGAGGAGCTTGATGAGCTGGAAGGTAGAGCAAAGACTAAAAATAGACAAGGGCTAGATAAATGTTTGGAGTAAAAGGATGACATGAATCCTCTTTTAGACATTACATAAGGTGAAGAGGGAGCTGAGATCTAAGATGGAGAAGGAAATTCAGCAACTACAGAACATGATAACGCAGAATGACGATGACGCTTTCTTCCGGGAACTGGAAGCTGAGCGCTTCAGAGCTCGGCTACAGCTGGCTTCTCTTCAGTATGGTCGGAATCCCTTCTCATGAGGCCAGATTTCATAGGTGAGGTTTCTGGAGGCCTTTACCAGGACAGAGCTAGAACTGAGCCAGTAAACAGTCTGAAACAGAAGAATTTTTTTAAATGCCTTATCTGTGTATTCATTCCAATACTCATAATATTTTAAATAAAAATGTTTTCTTAAAGCTTACTGCTTTTTCTTTTTTTTTAAATTCTTTTTGGATATTGGGGATTGAATCTAGAGACACTTTACCACTGAGGAGCATCCCCAGCCCTTTTTACTTTATTTGAAGACAGGGTCGCAAGTCACTAAGTTGTTTAGAGCTGGCTTCAAACCTGGCATCCTTCTGCCTCAGCCTCCAGAATCTCTGGGATTACAAGCATGTACTACCACACCCAGCTTGCTTTTGAATTTGACTTCAACCTGGAAAAGGGAAGTGAAGGTACATATTCTTCATTAGTCAGATTTGTGCTAAACTTAGCAGCCAGTCCCTAAAGCCTGTTGCTACATGTTAACAATAAACACACACACACACACACACACTCAAGAGGATTCCCCCCATCTCCCCCAAATTGGATAAAAGCTAGAATATAGGTTGGGTCGTCAGAGGTAGGCCTTTGAGTTGAGCCTTTATAGTGTATGTGCAGGATTCTTGCAACACATTGGAAGATAAGAGAAAAGAAGCATCACGGCTTCTATTGGGTGGGAGAAGACAGCAGTGAGAAGCAGCAAAGGGTATAAAGCCAGACAGTTTGCACATGGACTCAAAGTGGACAAGAGCACACCAACCAAATCTCTGGTTTGGGCATGTGGGGGGAGAGAACCCATGTAGGGATGGTGTCCTCCATAGCAAGGAGGCTTTAGAGAAGGCCAGGAGCAGAAAGCTTCAGGGCAATTATGGATATGGGGGCCTTGCTAATCAAAGCAAGTCGGGGGGCAGAGGGTACCACAGCAGGGATGCAGGGAGGAGAGAGGTTCCCATGAAGGCATGGGGAGGAGCTTGTGAGTGAAACAATGCCCAAGGAGGCAAGAAGGGGTAAGATCTGACTGTCCTGGGGTAAAGTAAGTGATTGGATCAAATACTGTGGTCTCAAGTGCTGCCCTCTTGGAATGGCAGCTGATAGAAAGTTGAGCTACCAGACAAGAGACATTTTTGCTCCTGGAGCAAAACCAATTGCTTTCTCAGCCACATCTCAACAAATTTCCTGAAAAAAGGCTTAATCATGTGCTCCTCCGATCTGAACTGATTACTTTGCTGGATGCAGACTGAGAACTGACTTTTGAGCCAGTTTGAATTTGGCCTTCACTGAGACATAGGCTGAAGCATTGGTTTGGAAATTGAGTTTTCTAATAGCCACCCACAGCTATGACACACAGCCTCGCATACAGGAGAAAAGCAGTAAATATCTGCTGAATGAACAAAGAAGTCGCATCTACTGCAAACAACACCTCCCATATAAAGTTTAACCTATTTTTTGTTTGCTAAGATTGCTAACACAGGGAGGTAACCCTTTTGTATAAATGCCTCATCTATCCTGGTGCTAGGCTCCCGTCCAGTTAAATTTGTCCTTGTAGACATCTGGGATAGAAAGTACAAATAAATGTAGTGGGAAATAGAGTTAACCTTGATTATAATTAGCAAAGGGAGAAACTTCTCCGGTTACCACACAGCAGAAAAACTTCCAACAAACATTAAATCAAACTTTCAGCTAATTTGTCGACTATTAAATTATCAAAAATCTTTACTAAAACCTTATAAATTTTAGCTAAAAGCAGTTAATGTGGCAATGAGACAAAGGAAAATAAATAAATTTCAAATGAATATTTAAAAGCACAGCATGGGGCTGGGGCGGTAGCCCAATGGTAGAGCGCTTGCCTTGCACATGTGAGGCACTGGGTTTGATCCCTCCCCAACATCACATAAAAATAAGCAGATACTGTGTCCATCTACAACTAAAAAAAAAAAAAAGCACAGCATTCCCACTCTTAAAACTCTTTAATACATGCTGCTACTTACAGGTCCCCCAGGTCGTCCATTCTGTTGTAGCCTGTGCTGTGTAGACTCAAATAGACTATGTTTTCTAGATTAAAAAAATATACCACATGCATTTCTTTTCCCATTATGTATTTTAGCTGGGTTTTCATTCACTAGCATTTACGGAGTTGTAAATCACATAACTTAAAATTCTTGGCGTTTAAGGAGAGTAGAACTGATTTTTCCTTTTCATTTTGAGGATTTTATTGCAACACCAAGGCAGGACTGGCAAATGTTGAGGTCCCTACCACAGCTCTGCCCTCTAGACCCGACAGTCCTGGGTACAGACTGGTTTCAGGACCATATCACTCTAAATCCAGACAGACCTCACAGCCCTCAGCAGGCACAGGCAACTCATCAAACTGCCATGGCAGGAGAAAACATGCACTTTCCTGCTCTACTGGAGAAAGAGAAGGGGTCCTGAACTCTCTAATGTGATAAAGGATCTTTAATGATAAAGCTCCTTAATGTGATAAAGGAACAACTAAGGCATGCATTTTATCACTCATGCTTATCACCTTTTATAGAGCCAATCAGATTTTTTCAAGACAATTCATTACACACAATATTCTTTAAAAACTTTGATGCTGTGATAGTGCAAACAGCATTCATTTTATTGCTCAACTTCGGCATGGGCACATACATAGTTAATTTTTAAAAACCATTTATGTAGATGTTATCGATAAAGCTCATGTAACTGAGTGAAAATACAAAGAATATCAAAGCTAAAACACTCTGTAATAAATACAAATACAATGAAAATGATAAAACTTTGTTTTTAAAGTCAGTTCAAGAGAAGGAAGAAAATTACATAAGGTGAACTAATTACATCTAGAAATAAAACAACTCAGCATTTGGTACAATCATCATCCTAACGTAAGAATGTTAAATACCACAACAAATGGCACCCGTTGACTACGCTGCAGCTTAAACACAGAAGCAGAGGGAGCTGCTCTACCAGACCACAGAGGTGGCTGGAACCATCTCTAACTCCGGCCAGTGCAATCAGTCCAATGCACCCGAAGTTTAAAGCAGATTTAGTGTTGTAAAATAAAGCAAATTACATTGTATTTAAAAGAGGAGAAAGTTGTGCTCTGGATTGTAAATACAAGAAAGAAAAAAGGACTTGATAAAAAATAAACCCATTCAGGGCAACAAACTATGTGCAAAACAATGTACACTATACACAGCACTATTTAAAAACTCTTTACATCAAGAAACAAGCCCTCTGAATCAAAATGCACCGCTGTACTGCATATAAGCTCTACAAAGTAATCACTGTTCAAAATAATGAATTCATGATGGAATTGGCAAAAGTATGGAAAGGTGACACTTAACATTATCCCAAATAATAGCTAGAGAAAGGACAGGGAAGAAAAACAGTTAAAGGGATGTGTGGAAATAAATATTCACATTAAACATGAGGTGCAAATCCAAGTTTCAATGATACACTGCGTGTTTTTGTTTGATTAGCACCCATTTGGAAGTAATCAGTTAAAGTAATTTTGAAATTGAAATCTAAATCATGTTTTCATTTATTATGTTGGTGGTACCATAGACATATTATGTAGGATAATTTCTTTCTCTTTAAGTTCTATTAAGTCATTATTATAAAGTTAAAAGGCACTCAAAAAGAGATGACATTTGCCTGTTTAATTTTTACTTATTCATATTTATTTATTTGTGTGTATGTGTGGTACTGGGGATTGAGCCCAGGGGTACTCTACTACTAAGCTAGATCCCTAGCCCCTTTTGATTTTTGAGATGGGGGTCTCAGTAATTTGCTGAGGCTGACCTCAAATTTGTGATCATCAGCCTCCCAAGTAACTGGAATTACAAGTGAGCACCACGCGCCCAGCTCTGCTTTCTTTATACTGTACATGAAAACTGTTAATATCATTTTATTATTACAGCATCCCTGTCAGTTATGAATTCTAGAAAATATTCATCGTGTATTTACTTTTTACTGAAATATTATAAGAGTAGGCACAATTACAAACTGCACTCGTGCTTTATAGAAAAGAGAGATGGACCTGTAACTAATGTACTTTCACAAAAGCTAAAAATTACTGATAATCAAATAGCATTTCTGTACATTTCAAGATTTTCTTCAGTACTAAGAATGCAGTAGGAAAAACAGTGGGAAGAAAGGTTGGCATAGCTGCACATTACTGCTGCACAGTTATTATGACTAGTTTTTGTAGCAGTCAAATTTGGCCAAATAAAATACATTAAAATATTCAGAAAACTGTTTTTAAAGCAGCAAAGTCTCCACTTGTTTTATCCTACTCATTTCCCTACCCCCCCCCCCACATACCAACACACCCCAGGAAAGCTTACTTAGAATTCCAATATATAAAAGAAAAAATAGAAGCTGCTTTGGGTGAAGGGGGAAGGGATGAGGATAGGCTAGGCTTTCCCTCCCTTTCTAAACCATCACTCATCAGGCACCTCTGAGGAACCCTTTGGCTTCAAAAACACAGACTGGAACCCACTATATCACATGAACCAGAACATAAATATTCTTTTCACTTGATATTTAAACTGCAAAATCCAAAAGTTGTCCAAAATATCACATCAATGTTTTTAAAAACAGAAGGTATATATTTTTTGTTGGCTGAATTTAAAAATCCACCTGTGATTTCAGATTTTTCCAATCTCTCACCTCGGAGTTTTGGTTGCCTTCTGGATTGAATGACATGCCACGCACCTTGAAAGTCAGATGCAAATTTTCAACACTTAGGGAACTGGGATTCCTTTACTTCCAAAATTAATTCTTCCATTTTAAAGTGATTTGTACCACAGAGTTAAAGCTTGCTAAATAATATTTAGAAGAAAATTTTCATTCTTAATAATTTTAGTTGACTGAAGTTATAAGCAGCTAAACAAAGCTCCAGCGTGGTTTACTTGATAGACACTTACACTGTAATTAAAATATAAATTAGGTGCACTTATTAGAGGCTTTGGTTTATAAGAGCAGTATATATACTAAAGACAAGCTGACCCAGCAAAAGAATGAAAATCCTATCCCTTCCACATGCTCTGAGAAACTATAAAAATGCAGTATTTCAATTTAAGGTGAAAAGTAATTCCAAAAACTCCTGATCATATTGATTCAAGATAAAAACATCAGTTGTTTTTTTTCTTTAAAGTCTTCTTAAAAACAGGAACCCCTGAACATATTTTAGATAAGAACTAAACTACTAAGTTTAGACTAAATGGTTGTATTATGAATTTGATAACCAAAATTATACAGCTGTATTTCCAGGAAATCCATGCTTGAAAAATATAAAAACAACCCACATAGGCTAGGTTGAACCACATAATGCAAAATATAATGCTCTATAGAAAAACATGATTAAACATGTAAATGGCTTGATTTCTCAAAGATAATGATTTTTTTAGCCAATTGTTTACAAAGGTAGAATAATTCAAAATAACTTTATTTATTTATTTTTACAAAGAGCAAGTACAGGAGCTGTTCAAAATCATGTATTCAATCAAAATGAAATGTGACTTGTACCGACTGCTGAAGTTGTCTTGATGTATGAAAAACTTGAAATCTGTGAAGCGTTCTGAATAGATTACCTTTTATAAAAATAGTAGTAGTCTTTAAGTGTAGAATACTGCCTAACTCTGGAAATGCAGGAAAAGTCAGCATTCTGTAAGGTTCAAGATATTAATTTTAATAGCAGCTGAATGTGTCCTCATGGCAAAGCATAAAGACTTTTTTTTTTTTTCCTTGAAAAGGAATTTCAAAATTGTCCTTTCCCCTCACAGTGTCCTAAAATTTAAAAGGGGGGGAGGGCGTTTTCCTGTATTTCAGCATTCTTTAAACTCTGCTGAAGGGAGGCTGTCAGTCAGGGGTATAAATAGAGTCTGGGTAAGTCCTTGAAGTTCATCATTCCACAGCAAATCCACATGTTTCTTCAATGGCTGTTAGCAGCTTTTCATAGAGCTTTTCATAGCTTTCATAGGGCGGAATGTCTATTCGATTGAAGCTGTGAATAAGTAAATCAGATATTATAGAGTTCATTTAAACGATCTATATACTAAATGTGTACTACTAATACAACCATGTCAATCTTTATGTCACTCAGTATGTTAAAAGGCTGTATTTCTTTATAAAGTATAGATTACTAATTTGGGATTAGTAATCTATGCTTTAAAGATTACCAACTTCTGAATAATATTCTTTTAAATTACTTAATTTGAGTTATTTATCATTCCTTTTAAGTGTCAATTTACTGGTAAAAACAATAAATGAAAAATCAAATCTGTTAGGAACAAACACACACCTACACAGGACAGTGAGGAAAGTTAAAAAAATAACATACCAGGTATGGGCTTTTGGCAGGTTGTTAGTACAGGCATCGATCTGGTGGATGGTAAAGAGGCGTGGGCCTGCAGCACCTGCAAAGGAAAAAAATGGGTCAAATCACCGTGGGTATAAGTCTCCATCTCTAAAATCTTAGATTAAAACTGGTAAATAAGCCACAGGATGCAGGGATAGGAGAATGCTATAAATCCACACATGCTACCTCGGGGGCAGCAGAAAAAGAATCTGGGTTTTTAAAGTTGGTTTGGGTAAGGCTGTTTGCCTTTATATGCTACCATTTCATTTTTGGAAAAAGCGCTGAATTGAATCCTTTGGTCAAACTTCTTTTATAGATCAATATTCCAAAGAATGAGGGGAAAAAAAGTAACTGGGTAAATTCAAGATAAAATATATGCATAATTTTTTTTAAAAAATGACAACCTAATGCAAATTTAGATTTCATGACTCAAAATGGGCTAAGAGCAGATTAGTAGTTTATCATATACAATTTTAACACAGATGCCCCATATAAATATATGGAGAAGGAATACAATTTTGAGTTCTCCAAACAGGGAAAATAAACACATCTCAAAGGACACAACTTTGCCTGTGGAATTTCAAGGTATGCAATGTGCATGGCACTGACATTATGTACCAGCCTTGCTTTGTATATCCTCCCTCATCACCAGTAGCAGCAGCTTTTAAAATGAAGAGCTTAAGAGGTAAGGAAAGCACAGTGAAGTACCACAGTCATTAGCAATATTACCAACTCATTCAAAATTAAACAGCTTATTCCTCAGAAAACAATTCTTTAAAAAATGGAATATTGTTATACATCAATGGTGTGAGGCCATGCAATAATTGAAGTGCTCTGACCAAACAGATGGCTTCCATGACCCAAACTGCCTGTTTCTATTAAAAGAAAGAGTAGAGGGGAGAGGCATGCAAGGGAAGTAAATATTTTGCCAGGTTGAAATGTGAACATGAAATGAACAACTTCCACTACAGGAATGTGCAACAGAAGTATAAGCAAGCAACCAGAAAACAAAAGGCAGAGCATCACCATGAATAGTCCAGTCTAGCATGCAGCACTCACTACAATCACAGAGAACCCGGCAGAAAAGGCTCTTAGGAGGGGAACAAAAGAAGGAAGGAGAAGAAGATTTCATGGTATGTATTACAGATAAGAAATAGAGTGAAAAGAGAATCTGTTTATAAGCACATGGTTTGTAAAATATCTGTACAAACTAAATATTGCCATCCCCACCTCCACAAGCTTACAAGAAGCTTAGAGAAGCTGTGCCAGTCTCTCCCTCTTTTTACCTTGTAGTGCTTTGAAGCCCTGCAGAGGCACTCTAGATGATCCTGTCACAAACTGAAGCAATCGTGCTCGTCGCTCTTCATCAAAAAACTCCACAGCTTTCCAGAACCACTTAACGACATTGCTGTCTGGTGTACAGTGTTTTAACCGGGTGTTTACCTTCCAGTCATTGACATCTATTTTTCCAAGTCCACAAATAATGAGCTGTTAAAATATTGCACAAGTAGATGAGCCACTAGAAACCAAAGCCACACCAAAAATTCTTCAAAATAGAACTTAAGATTTGTGGTGTTAGTTCTCATTTGGTGCCTCTTAATCAAAGGTGCACATGATAAAACATTCCAAAATATATACACCAAATCCTATGCTCAGAGGTTCTAATTCATTGCATCTGGGTGACAGGATCTATATTTTAAAAACCAACAGAGGTATCTATTCACTGTAGATTCCCTCTCCAGGATCTGAAAAATCACCATTGTGTTGGACTCAACAAGACAAAAGAATTGTGAAAATTACACAGTTTTATAACAGAATTGCATTTTTTAAAAAAAGGTCAGAAATTGAGACACATACAGTTTATCTGTGCCTTCCACAGACCCACATCACATTCTATTAGTTTCAACACTATTAGCTTTGTGATTTGGGGCATTTCAATTCCGTCAGCCAACAGTTTCCTCTGCTGTAAAATGACAGTTACATCTACACCACCACATTCCATGAAAGTGACTCAGTACACAGCAACTCATGAAATGTTGTCTTGAATAAGTGATTAACACAACTTGCTTAATAATCTTAAAATTATATTAAAATATGAAATACATGAACACATTGCTATAGAACTCTGCTTAGCATCCTAATGCAGGGTTAGTAGAGATGAACTATATCAAAATCATTTGACACTACTAATACATCTCTTTAGGGTCAAAGACTAACTCATCTTATTAATCTAACATGTTTATAATGGTGAATTATGAAAGTATATAATGTAAAACACAATGTAACTTGTGTATCCTAGATTATAATTAATCCTATTAATCCAGTGTAACTCTAAAAAATTTAAACAATTTCAATATAGTAGTTGAAACTATAAGTAAATCCTACCCCTACGGAACAAGATCTCCAACGAAGTTTGTATAGGCTTCTAAAAGATTACTGAATCTAAGTCACTGGGAAAAGGTTACCATATAAGGATTATGGATGCATTCAGAACACAAAAGACACCTTCTAAATTCTTTGCTTTCTAATTTCCGCTCCTCTAAAGAAAACTCATTTAATGTTTCATAAACAGATGAAAAGGTCCTGTATCTCAACTTTAGTGCCCCTCCTGCTGCTATGTGTCCCTCCCCTTCCTGATCACCTCCTTCTGGCCATATTACTATGAATAATAAGTTGCAGAAGGAATGGAGATAGCACTAAGACAAACGAACCTTTTTAGATTTATTTGCAAACAGCACATTTAGTTAGGACACTGATATTAATGAATACATGTTTTAAGATAGTTGTAGATTTCAAATATTTATGCTATCCCTAATCACTAAATAAATGTGGAACCTTTGGCAGAATAAAACCTCATTAATTTTTCAAAGTAGTTCAGAAGAAACTTCAGATGTGTTTGTTAAAGATGTTTATTATGTGTTTGTTAAAGATGTTTATTATAACTTTAACCAGATTGTTAAACTTTAACCTATTAAAGATGTTAATCATTAAAGGTGACTATTAAAAGACGTTAACCATCTTTAACCAGATCTGAGGTGCTATAAAGACTAGCTTTAATCAGAAACAAACTTTTAACTGTTGAGTATAGCTACTGTTGGTATATGAATGTTTCTAAAGGTCTAAAGGTGATTAGATACTGTACAGTTTTCCTAAGTGTTTTATTTATTTCCTCTAATGATCTGTCTACTAAATGTTTTCTGGCAAAGTTTAGTACAAATACAACTGAGCTTAGACCTTTATCCAAATAAAGTTCAATATGATAGTTGACAAGGCTTTACTTAGTTAAATCGATAACCACTAAATCATGGAACAGAAAAAAATTTGGAAGAATATACACATAAGACATGAAGTCTGTTTAAGAGAAGAAAGGACAATAAGGAAATTAAGAATGTTCACATTGTGCCAGGCATAATGGTGCATGCCTATAATCCCAGGAGGTTGAGGCAAGAAAATCTCAAATTCAAGACTAGACTCAGCAATTTAGCAATGCCCTAAGGAACTTTGTAAGACCCTGTGTCAAAATAAAAAATAAGAAGTGCTGGGAAGGCTGGGGTTGTGGCTGAGTGGTAGAGTGCTTGCCTAGCAAGCTAAGTTCGATCCTTAGCACCACATAAATATAAAGATATTGTGTCCACTTAAAACTAAAAAATAAATATTAAAAAAAAGAATAAACGCTAGGGATTGTGGCTCAGTGGTAAAGTACCTCTGGGTTCAATTCCCAATACCAAAACAGGAGAAAAAGAAAAAATGTTCATAATGTAAGCTTACTCAAAGATATTCCAAGCATAAAAGACTTCCGGTGAATAAGAATTCTCAAAGCATTGAACCATAAAACTTTCAAAGCAGGGAGGAAGAGCATGAGAAGAATATTACCATTAAACAGGGAAGAGAGGTGGGAGGGAAAAGAAGGGAGAAGGGGAATTGCACGGAAGATGGAAGGAGACCCTCATCGTTATACAGAATACATGTATGATGTTGTGGGGGGGGGAGTGTGTCACATTAGATTGGGTAGAGAGAAGTGATGGGAGGGAGGGGAGGGGAAGGGGGGATAGGAAGGGCAGCAGAATAAAATAAACATTATTATTGCTGTATGTATATAGGTGACTGTATGACAATGTGATTCTACAACCTGTACAATCAGAAAAATGAGAAATTATACCCCATTTGATTCAAATGTATGAATTGTCAAGATCATTGTACTGTCATGTGTAACTAATAAAAAAATTTAAAAAATAAAAAACTTTCAAAGCATTAGAAACACAACTTACCTCTAAAAACAAAGAAACAAAATAATTGCTAATCTTATCACGCTAGATGATGTCATAACATGGATGTACTGACCTCTAACTCTTTCTCATCAAATGTCTTCAGCAGGTGCTGGGGAATCACTTCATTAAACCCTTTCTGCAGAGCCAGGAACTGAGCCTCAATGCCTCGTAAAAATCTCCAGTTCACATAGAGCCTATAAACATCAGGCAGGGGTTTCGTATGATCAGATATATTTAGATTTGGTAATTAATGTGAATCACTTCTTCAGCAACACTGTACTTTATAAACACCTAGCATCAAGAATTTATTCTAGGGCTGAGGTTGTGGTTCAGTGGCAGAGCGCTTGCCTAGCATGTGTGAGACACTGGGTTCGATTCTCAGCACCGCATACAAATAAATAAAAAGATCCATCAACAGTTAGAAAATAATTTTTTAAAAAAAAGAATTTTTTTCTAAAGTTTTTTTTTTAAAAAAACTCAAACTAATGGGGATAAATGGATCCCAAGCTGTGAGGCAGTTTAATCTTGATAAAATGTAAACTTCCACAAATAAAAGCAATATTAATGAAGCAATTCTTCAAATCAGAGACACTACTAGTAAACTAGAAGTCTACTAGAGCTCAGATAGTCTGAGGTTCAACTCCTATTGGCTGAGGGTATAGACCTGTGGTAGAGCACGTGCTTCTTAACATGCACGTGGCCCTGAGTTCAATCTCCAGCAAGCATACACAAACAAACTTGATAAAATTTCTTTCTTATAACACACATTCCAACAAATCAGAGAAAAATAGCCCACTGACTCAAAAGATGACCATTTTTTCTGGCTGTATTTGAAAATGTTATCAGAATGTGTTGCTGGGTCTTCTGTTTATATCTAGGGCAGGACTATTGGGGAAAAGGAGGTAGGGAATCTTCATATCCAAAATGAGAAGAAACTAAAGCCAATAGCACTTTCTGAATAAATATTCATTGTTCACTGGAAGCTGTAAAAACTCTGGAAGATGTCACTTTATCCCCTCCCTGCCCCCCCCCTAAAAAGCACTAAACTATACATCAATTGTATAACTTGTGCTCTGACTGGAGTTTGTCATTTAAAAATAAATTGCTTTCATTTACCTGTCTACCCAGGAAACCTCTCAATCTAACACATCAGGACTACTTTTCTATCAAATTTGTTATCAATATTTCCTTTTCCAAACTTGGATGACTATTTCTCTAATTAATAAATAATTACTTAATACTATATTGGCTGGAGGATCTGTTTGTTGGTTTAAAGGGGCAGCAAAACCATATAATTCTTGTCCTTGTTTATCTCACTTCTACAGTTGCACAGGATTTATTATTGTGTTGATAAACACATAAGCCCTGGAAAAAGTAAATCTAAAAACTGAGGACACACTGGATCCTAGACTGACAATGCAGCAGGGATGAGAGAAATTCCMAGCCATTCTTACAGTTTTTATCAGAAATGTAACAGAGCAATCACCAATATAAAGAAAAATCAAACATTAACCATGGAGACCAAGTGAAACCTGAAAGTCCATTCTTCTGCCCTCTTTACCCTCCCTATTTTCAGGCCCCCACCTCTGCTCCCTCCTTCTAGCAAATACTATATTTGGTATAGAACCAAATAATTATACAGCCATATAATTAAAAAAAAACAACACCACAATTTTGTCCCTAGGTAATTCTTCTAGAACTTGCTTCTTAAATCTTATAGTTTATACAATCTCTCTTCTTAAACATCCACATAATATTATACTGAATGTATAATCATTTTACTCTGAAAACATTTTGGTAGTTAATTTTTCTATAAGCATTCTTTAACTGAACATCCTTATTCATATTTTTTTAATTAGATGTGTGTTTCTGTAGGAGAGTCCCAAAAACAGAACTGCCAGTGAAAAGGCATATGCAAGTTCACTTTGGTAGCTGTATCAACTGCTTTCCCAAAATCCCACCAACAGTGTATAAAACTGAGAGGTCTCATTTTGAAGAAGGAAAATTTTAGCTAATAAGATTTGGGGATAGGGGCTGGGGTTGTGGCTCAGTGGTAGCGCGCTCACCTAGCACATGCAAGGCCCTGGGTTCAATCCTCAGCACCACATATAAAGGTATTGTGTCCAAAAAAAAAAAATGATTTGGGGATAATAATATATACAAAATAGCAATAGTATTCATGTTTCTGTGTACATATGAAGCTCAAACTCCTAAATCTGATCCAGTTTTATATTTAGAAGACTTTAGTTACCATAGTAAGTATTAAACTAATTTCAAAATTCCTCAATTTGTATAAAACATGAACAACATTTTCTTATATTTCTCCCTCAAAACTCACTAGGTACTCATTTATAAATAGGCAAAGTGCTAGGAATACAACACAAAGTTCCCTGAAATAGCTATACTACACATAGCTTTGATGCTCCGAGTCTCTGGCATTCCCACCTATGTTCAGCCCCTCCTCCCCAATGAACCTGGGCTGGCCTGTGACTCATTTCAACCAAAACAATACAGCAGACGTCAAGTTGACAGTGCCATGCTAGTTTTTAAAAAGATCTGGAAGCTTCTGCTTTTGTGCTCTGGAAAGCCAGCCACCCCCAAGAAATCTGACTGTTTTGCTGGAAGAGAGATAGAGATCTTTGATGCTATAAAGGGAGTACCAAGGAGCCTAGTGGCAATGAGGCCCCAGACAATGCCCTCAGATGACAGTTGTTCCTGCCAGCCCACAGCCATTTGAGCCATCCTAGCTGAGTTCTCACTTGTAAGAATGAAGAGGCCACCTTGGCCCTTTAGTCCAGCTGACTTTTTGTGGAACAGCAATGTGCCATCCCTATTATTCTTCGCCCAAATTACTGACCCCTGGAATTGTGAAAAACAACAGTGACTGTTTTTAAGTCACTAAATTCTATGAAAGCATATTTTATAGGAATAAAACTACTTAATGTTTGTCCATACTGACATTCTAGAACATTACAAAAATTCTCAATCTTGAGAACAGATAAATGTTTACCTGACATATTCTTTTTTATTTTCTTCATTAACAGGGATACTCTTGCCATTTGGTTTGAGTTCATGCTGAATAATTTCACCATATGCGTTATGTTCAACACAGAAAGTATGGTCCAAAACACCTGTAATATCATTTTCACTGGACAGGAAACAGAGAAAAAGATACATAACTGGGAAACCTAAAACATCAGTCCTATAGGTTTATTAACTGGTGAGACAGATAAAACTAAGATAGTTTTATGATATGATAAACATAAGGTCAGATTCATTTTTTACTTTTTATACTACCACATACTTTTCTTGGGCAGAAAAGTAAAAAAGCTTTAATATAAATACAAGTAACATTTCACTTCCTTACTAATGAGAAATAACCTTGATCAAAGCTGATCTTTGCTAGGACCACAATGTAAGAAAAGTTCAGTTATATTTTGACATTCAGATAAAAGGCCTTAGGGAATCTGGGAACCTCCTTCACTGACCTGAATAATCCAGAGAAAGTAATCTGTATATTTCATAAAAGTAAGTACTACCAGCATATCTTCCTAAATTATTTATTAACTTAAATAGAATTAGTTCTTATTTATGATTCTTATTTATGATTCCAACAATCAGCACTTCATTAAAAAGCAATGGATTCAGAAATTTGCTATTCTTCCACATGCAAAACAGGAACAGAACTTTACCACATTGAGGAAATCATTACACATAGTACTGTATATGTAAATAGTATAGAATTGAGTATCCCTAATTTAAAAATCCTAAATCCCATAAGTTCCAAAATCCAAAACATTTTCAGTGCCAACATGCTCCAAATGGAAAATTCCACATCTGACCTCAAGGGAGGGGTCAAAGTAAAAACATAGGCACACTAAAAAATAAGTATAAAATTACTTGTAGGCAATGTAGATAAGGTATACCAAAAACATAAATGAATTTTATATTCATACTTGGGTCCCCCCCACCACAAAAATATCTTAAGTATAGACAAATATTTCAAAATCTAAAACAAATCCAAAATCTGAAAGCAATGCCAGTTCCAAACATTCTGGATAAAGGATACTCAATCTGTACTAGAATTTTTTCCTTTTTAAAGTAATAACACCTGCTAACTTTAAGGAATTTGAAATGTATAGGAAAGCAGCAGAAAGGGGGAAAGTCTTATGTGGGCCTATTACTCATGTAACTACATTTAATATGTTTTCAGCACATATTTTTTTAAGTTTTAAAATAAATAGTTTTGGAATGATTCTTTTTTAAAGCTCATATTCTAGCTATAATAAACAGATATAAGATTCCACCTACAGAATCCACACCAAACTGTTATGAAGATCTGGATCAACTAACTCCATGTCATCCAAAGTAATTGACTTTCCAAGCAACTGTTTATAAAAAGGCAATGTAAAACCACCATCAATATAATGTCCATGAAACACAGCCATTCCCATTATTCGTCCAACGAAGTGGAAATATGATAAATGTTCCTGAAATTGAAAAAAAGTTTATATAAATACTCAAGCTAGAAACTATCAAAGAAGTTTTTAAATAAAAAGTAAACATTTAAGTAGGCATTAAGATTTTTTGATAAATATCAAATTTGTACTCCRTGACTATTTAAATGGAACATATTGTCACATCAAAGCTCAATAAAACTCAGGAATGTTTCTGTAGGGCACACACAAGCTTTTATACATCACTATAAAATAACGTGTTACAGTTGATGCCTCTCTCAGAGGGTAAAGGTACTTTGTAAAATTTCTCTTTTAGAAATCAGTCCAAATTATAGTCCCACTGCAGCTTCACTTAATTGCCTGTAGACAGCTTCTCTTCCTAAGTTCATAATAATGTATAATAGGGTTTAAAAAGTATAGCACTAGCTGGGGTTATGGCTCAGTGGAAGAGCACTTGTGTGAGGCACTAGCATGTGTGAGGCACTGGGTTAGATTCTCAGCACCATAAATAAATAAATAAAGTCCATCAACAACTAAAAAGAGTATATTAAAAAAAAAGTATAGCACTATACTAAGTTCGCAATGTACAAGGTCCCACTCAACTCTCACACTCTTCTCTGAGACATGAACCATACTTATTATTTTTAGTAATTAAAAAATTGAGGCTTAAGTTAATGAGCTCACCCATATCACAAAGCTAAGTAAATGATGAGAACAGGATATGATTCCATGTCTTCCAATCCCAGAATCTGTGTTCTTAACCATTTCTATTATTCTGCTTTATGTCATAATTTAACCAATCTTCCTTCTTATGGATAACTGTTTTGTTTTTCTTTTTTTGTTCTTCTTAGATATACATGACAGTAGACTGTATTTTGACACATTATACATACATGGAGTATAACTTATTCTAATTAGGATCCCATTCTTGTGACTGTACATGATATGGAGTTTCACTGGTCATGTATTCATATACGGACATAGGAAAGTTATGTCCGATCCATTCTATTGTCTTTCCTATTCCTATCTACCCTCCCTTCCCTTCATTCCCCTTTGTCTAATCCAATGAACTTCTATTCTCCCCCCACCCCCACTGTGTGTTAGCATCCTTATATCAGACAAAATATTCAGTATTTGGTTTTTGGGAACTGGCTTATTTCACTTAGCATGATAGTCTTCAGATCTAACCATTTACCAGCAAAAATCATAAAGTAATTATTTTTTATAGTTGAGTAATATTCCATTGTGTATATGTACACCACACTTTCTATATCCATTCATCTTCTGAAGGGTACCTAGGTTGGTTCCATAGCTTAGCTATTGTGAATACAGCTGCTGTAAACAATGATGTATCTGCATCACTGTAGCTAATTTTAAGTCCTTTGGGTATATACCAAGGAGTGGGAAAACAATCAAATGGTGGTTCCATTCCAAGTTTTTTAAGGAATCTTCATACTGCTTTCCATAGTGGGCACCAATTTGCAGTCCCACCAGCAATGTATTGAGTATACCTTTTTCCCCACATCTTCACCAATCTTATGGATAACTATTGTTTTCAACTAGGGCTATTATAAATAATAAACAGCCCTGTGCTTAAATTGTTGCATATATCCATAATCATTCACCTGAGAAAATTTTCTAGAAGAATTACTGAGTCAAAGAGCATGACTAGGACATGAACAAGTAATTTATATTATAATAAACTATATTGAGCCAGGCATGGAAACTTATGCCTGTAATCCCAACTACTCATGAGGCTGAGACAGAAGGATCCTAAATTCTGGGCCAATCTCAGAAATTCAGTGAGACGCTGTTAAAAATTAAAAAGAATAAAAAGGAATGAGGAGGTAGCTCAGTGGTAGAGTACACTTGGGTTCAATCCCTAGTACCACAATCAATCAATCAATGTAATAAACTTCACTTGATATTTAGAGATAAACAAGCACTATAGGTCCCAATTCACATCATTACAACTATAAATCATACCGGATTCACTGCAGAATCAGGGTTGATCTGCAATGTATAGATGTCATCTCTTGAGTACTGGAAGAGGCCATAGTACGGATTCAACATTTCATGTGACAGGAGATACAACCATTCCCTAGAAAACAAGATATAACAAAAAATTTTTGTTAATCGATAATGTTTATTGATATACCATTCAACATTTTAGCAAATATTTTTCTTTAATTAAGAAAGGAAAACAGCCAGGTGTAGTGGCACACCCTGTAAACCTCATATATAAATGTTTCTCATTTGTCTGGTTGTATATGATGTAGAGTTACACAGGTAATTTTGGGCAATTTTATTACATTTTAGCATCAGAGAGTGTAAACACAGCTTAAGGCAGGAGGATCCTGAGTTCAAAGCCAGCCCCAGAAAAAGCAAGGCACTAAGCAACTCAGTGAGACCCTGTCTCTAAATAAAATACAAAATAGGGCTGGGGAAGTGGCTCAGTGGTTGAGTGCTCCTGAGTTCAATCCCGGTACCCAAAAAAAAAAGAAAACAAAGTAATAACTGTAGTTATACTTAAGTCTCTGCTCACTCAATTTTGGGCAATTTATTTATTTATTTATTTATTAAAGAGGGGGGGAGGGAGGGAGGGAGAGAGGGAGAGAATTTTTAATATTTATTATTTAGTTATCGGCGGACACAACATCTTTGTTTGTATGTGGTGCTGAGGATCGAACCCGGGCTGCGCGCATGCCAAGTGAGCGCGCTACCGCTTGAGCCACATCCCCAGCCCCGGGCAATTTTTTTAAATTAATTTTTTTTTACAGTTTTAAAATTTGTTCTAATTAGTTATAGATGACAGTAGAATGGATTTTGACACATCATACATAAATGGAGTATAACTTCTTAWTTGTCTGGTTATACATGATATAGAGTTACACAGGTAATTTTGGGCAATTTTAATACATTTTAGCATCAGAGAGTATAAATTACCTAGCAGTTCAGCTACTCATGACAAAGCTATATCACAGGAAGTGTCTTAAATTTGTAAGTATAAAGATCCACATATCATTAACAGACAAGCAAGTCTTTACCTGGCAACCCCTCCATAATCAAGGCCTTCTTCTCCACGAAATTTTATCATTAATCTCTTCCAGAGATCTTTTGGTCTCATTTTCATCACCTGTCTATATGACTCCTGAAAAAAAATACATATATATTATTATTAGGTGTTTTTAACCTATTAAACTCTCCCTCCCATCTCACTCACAAAACACAATTTAAATAAAGTGAAATTTTCCATTAAATCAATGAATAAATTCCAAATATTTTAAAACGCTTAATCCTTCTGAAAGCAATTTATTTAATAAATATTGTATGAAAACCCTACTAGGTACTAGTAATGTTTCCACTCACAATCAAAAGAGAATTTGGTAGAAGAGCAGATTTTTTTAAAAGTTGGTTGAACTAATCTTAGATTACAGGCACCAGTAAAGTAAGTGTAAGAAAAACAAAGTTCCAAAAGAAAATCAGCAATCATAAAGTGGTCTTCACTACATAGACAGCCTTATATCATTTTAAAATATGAATAGTAGACTACAAACAAGGTCAGAACTGCTCTGAAAGTAAAAAGTGCATCCTAATTTAGGAAGAGGGTTATCAGGTTCCAAATGTCTTTTGTACAAGAATCCTCTAATGAATGGGAAACCCCTACCTTTGGCCTCTACCGAGTATTATAACAAGAATTTTGAAGCTGGCATTAGGACCATAATCCAAGGATAAAAGTATATAACAGAAAGATTTTCAATAAATTAAAGAAGTAGTCCAACAGTAATCAGACAAAATAATTATTTTTTAATTAGAGTCCCTTAACTTTCAGAAGAATCAGAAAGCAAGGGATAGATAATACTTGGGGCCTTTATCTGTGATAATCTATACTAACATGGGCTGGGGCTGTAGCTCAGTGGGAGAGCACTTGCCTAGCATGGGTGAGGCCCTCGGTTCAATCTTCAGCACCACATAAAAATAAAGAAATAAAATAAAGGCATTCTGTCCATCTACAACTACAAAAAAAATTTAAAAATAAATAAATAAAATTCACTAACAGGTTAGGTGTGGTGGTGCATGCCTGTGATCCCAGCTGCTCAGGAAGCTGAAGCAGGAGGATCACGAGTTCAAAGCCAGCTTCAGCAACTTAGTGAGAACCTGTATCTAATAAAATACAAAACGGGTCTGAAGATGTGACTCAGTGTATAACTGTTCCTGGATTCAATTCTCAGTTCCAAAAAAAATTTAATTAATTAATTAAGAAAAATAGAATTCACTAATAAATAAGAATTTGCAATGCAGGGACCAAATTGAACTAAGGGGAATGTGTGGCACTCTTCATTCCATTTAATGGCTATATCACATACTGAGTATCTCCAATATTACTGCCTTTACTTCCCACAATCAAAAAATATAAATGAGAATGCTTCCATTTGAGAGGGATATGAATCCCAAAAAAGTATTCTTCGAAAAGGGAGAATAAAGCACTAAATTTAATTTTCCTCTATTTTAAAATAATACTTGTCAAAAACAAAGATTTCCAAGTTTACCTCAAAAATCTCTTCCCTGGAAACCTCAATGCGGCAGTGGCCAGCCTGAGGCTGTTGTTGGGAAAGTTCTTGCCGCAAGACTTTCAGTTTCTGAACCAGGTCTCGCTTGTACCTTGGCACTGTCAGACACTCTGTCTCATCAGGGCATAATGAAACCACTTGCTGTTGCTGTTGGTCTTTCAACTGGTTCTGCCGACTGGAAGTAACAGAAATGCTATTATAAAAGTATTTTAAATTAAAAAGATTGCTATTATACATTTAAAATATCAAATACCATCAAACTATAAATCAAGTCTAGCTGTATCATTTGCCAAGCCTTATTAGGACATATGGTCAGCCTAATTTTGGGGGGGGGGCAACAATAAACCAGTTCCAAAGTTTATTTCTTATCATCCACAAGAACTGATAGAATTAGATAATGAAGTTTATCCACAAAGCTTTATACTGCTGCTGGGAACAAATTTTTCAAATACCATTTCCATTTTCCTCTACATTTTTCCATCACTCATTTTAAAATTCAGGCAGATGCCACCACTGCTTGCTATCTTGAGTCTGTCTTTCTGGAAGAGCCAAACGAAAGTTTAAATTGGCAGCATGGCAGAAACTCTTCCTCTTTTATCTGTTATAATCTATACTACAACAATTTGGGAGATCATGTTTAAGTTATTGTCACAGAGAAATAAGCACTTTACAAACAAGTCTAAGTACTTTATAAAAATGACTATTTCTCTGTGTGTGTATGTGGTAAAATAAATATAAATAAATTTCAGAGACACTAAGAAAATTCACTGTTGTGCTGAAGTGACGTCTAACTACACATATAATACCACAACATGAAAATAATGTTCCAAGTACATAATAATAATAATTTAAGAGACACTTTACCTACATATGTTTTTATTCTCCTGACACAAATTCTAAGTTGCACTTGAGATTTTTAAAAAAGAACTCTATAATATAATGAAGTAGTTAATTCCAAAAGTTTGTCAGAAAATAAAGTTATAATTTATTACTGATATTTATGCAGACACCGAGTGACAAAGATGGAGTTTAAAATTAATTTTACATGCAATAGATAAGAAAATAATCTCTCTTAACCTAAAGGAAAGAGTAATGGTAGTGATGATAAAATACATGAAAATAACTCAGTTTGTTAGCAGGTCATCCTAATTTACTTTACATATAGTGATTCTCACACCAGGCCAAATTTCATGTCTAAAACATAACCATACAAACAGCATTTTTGAAAATGTCAGTATTAACTGTTCTTCTAAACATAATAATAAAGGTGTTATTACACATACACACACACACATACACACACACACTCAATGTTATAAAAAGTATTCCCTTGGGCTAGGTTTTGGCTCAGCAGTAGAGCGCTTGTCTAGCTTGTGCGGGGGAGCTGGGTTTGATTCTCAGCACCACATAAAATAAAATAAAGGTATTGTGTCCAACTACGACTAAAACAAAATATTTTTTAAAGTATTCCATAAAAATTATACAATCCTATTTTTAAAAAATTAACTTGGGGGACGAGGGACATGGCCCAGTGGTAAAGAACTGTTTGGTGTATGTGAGGCCCTGGGTTTAATTAAGTCCCAGTACTACAGGATGGGTTGGAGAAAACTTGGGTATATTTCATACCAGATACAAAAACTAACTCAAAATGGATCATAGACCTCAGTGTAAAATCTAAAACCTTAAAACTTGTAAACAGAGGAAAATATATTTATAACCTGTGTTAGGCTATGATTTCTTAGATAACACAAGAACAAGTGAATAAATTAAACTAAAAAATTTTAAAGAAAATTTCTGCTTTTAAAAATGCACCAACAAGAAAATGAAAAGACGAATCATAGACTAGAAGAAAATCTTTGGAAAGCATATATCTGACATGTAAATATCCAAGAACTCTCAAAAACTCAATAATAAAAACTAAACAGCTCAAGGGGGCTGGGGTTGTAAGCTCAGTGGTAGAATACTTGCCTAGCATGTGTGAGGCCCTGGGTTTGATCTCCAGTACCACATAAAACTAAAATAAACAAAATAAAGGTATTGTGTCCGTCTACAACTAAAAATATCTTTAAAAAAACTAAACTAAACAGCTCAAATGAGGGAGTAGAAGACAAAGATTTCCCCAAAGGAGATACATGGATGGCAAAGAAACACATGAAAGATGCTCAACATCATTTGTCATTACAGAGAAGCACACTAAAACCAGAATGAGATACCACTACATACCAATTAGAATGTCTAAAACTAACAAGGTTAATCATACCAAGAGTTAGTAAGGATACAGAGCAACATCTCATGCATTGCTGGTGGGAATGTAAAATGGAACAATACTTTGAAAAGCGATCAGGCACTTTCTTTGAAAATTATACATAAATCTACCATATGATTTAGCCTTTCTACTCCTAGGTACTTTTCTACCCAAGAGAAATGAGAGCATATATTCCTACAAAAACAGGTACATAAAGACCTTTATCTTTTATAGCCAAACACTGGAAACAACGTAGATGATATTCCATTGTAACACTAAAAAGAAATGAACTATACATGTAAGAGAGATGAAGCCCAAAATTATTTGGGGTAAAAGAAAAGAAATCAAACAAATATACTGTTAAGATTCGATTTATCTAATATCCAAAAGGTAGTGTTGTGGATTGTCCCCTCCCAAAACATGTTGAAGTCTCAACTCTTCAGACCTGTGAATGTGACCTTATTTGGAAATAGGGTTTTTGCAGATATAATCAAGACAAGATAACAATGCATTGGGTTGGTCCTAAATCCAACTGGCATCCTTATAAGAGAGGGGAAATTTGGATGTAGATACAAAGAAAATAAACCTATAAGATGATTGAAGGCAAACATCAGAGTGAAATGTCTACAAGCCAAGGAACACCAACGTTTCCAGAAACCACCAGAAGCTAGAGGGGGCATGGAACAGATTCCTTCAGATCTTCCAGAAGGAACCAACCCAGCTGACTCCCCCAGTCTGGACTTCCCTCCAGAACTGTGAGGGAATGAATTTATTTGTTCACCCAACTTGTGGTATTTTGTTGCAGTAACCCTGGGAAACTAATACAAGGTGAAAGCAGCATAGGGAGGGAGAGGAAAAGAAATTACAAATGGGCATGAGGAAACTTTTGAAGGATGGATATGTTCACTTTCATGTGATGATAGTTTCTTGGGTATATAACATGTTAAATATGTTAAACTGTATAAAAATTTATAGTTGATTGTATGTCAATTATATTTCAATAAAGCTGGGGTCTTTTTTTTTGGTACTGGGGATTGAACTCAGGGGCACTCAACAACTGAGCCACATCTCCAGCCCTATTCTGTATTTTATTTAGAGACAGGGTCTCACTGAGTTGCTTAGTGCCTCGCTATTACTGAGGCTGGCTTTTAACTCTTGATCCTCCTGCCTCAGCCTCCCGAGCCGCTGGGATTACAGGCATGTACCACCGCGCCCAGCAAAGCTGTTTTTTTTTTTTTTTTTTTTAAATCCAGAGACAGCAAGCTCATTCACAAAGCCTTGTGTGAAAGACTGTCTGAAGACCTGCAAATAGAAAAGGCTTAAAACTGAAACAGTAAATAATCTCAGATTCAGCCACCAAAAGCTATTATTTCTCATACACACAGGGAAAAGAAAAATACAATTACCCAATAAAGCAGTCTGTCTCTTCAAACTGTACTAGGGTGCAAAAGGCATTTATGTAAAGACTAATGTCTATGCTAGGAAAGAAACACTGCAGGTGTCAATCCTATATCCTTCAAGATGTCTAACAATGCCTAGTGACTTAATTAGGAAATCAAACAATTTTCTTAAAATAAGTGAACCTGACATGCAAAGACTCAAATTGTAAAGTCCTTGCCCATAGTGATCTTTAAAAAGAAAAAGTGAAAAGCTTCCTTTATAGTAATAACTTCCTGCAATGCCAATCAAAGGAAAGGAAATAATTACTGTTAAAAGAATAAAAACAGGGGGGCTGGGGTTGTAGCTCAGTGGTAGAGCACTTGCCTAGCACATGTGAGGCCCTGGATTCGATCCTCAGCACCACATAAAGATAAATAAATAAAATAAAGGTATTGTATCCATCTACAACTATTAAAAAAATAAAATAAAAACAGGAAGAGAAAAAAAGGGAAGAAAAAAATACCTCTCTACAGTCAAACTGGTTGAATTCAAATCCCAGCTCTCATGCTCTTTATATATCTCTAGACAACTTATGTAACTGAGGCTCCATTTTTCTCATTGGTGAGAGGGAGACAACATAGAGTTACAATAAGGATGACACAGTGCTCAGAGCACACTATGCAGAGTGAATGCTAATCATCAGAACTGTAACGGTATAGTTACTGGGTTAAAAAATCTATAAAGTTTGCTTGAAGCAGGAAAATTAAAAAAAAAAACAGATTTTAAATTATTTCTTAGAAGAATATGTCCTTTGCCAAGTTATTTACTGAATCCCAATGACAATATTTTGTAATAGTTTATCAACTCTGTACCATCACTGACAGAGTATGTGCTGAGGCCTCACAGGTACTGCATAATCTTCATAATATTAAAAAAAAATAACACCAATAGTATTTCAGGAGGGACTTGGGAGTTAAGGAGGGAGAGATTAAAGTACTATATAAGAAAGAACTTAAATAATATTCTCATAAACATTTTATATATAATAGGCCTAGTACATATTTCTAAGAGGTAACTTTTCTTATCACTTCCTTTCAAAAATTTAATTACCAGTTCTTCTTAGTTTGAATCGGAGAGTTCTCTCTAAAACATAACTTGCTCCACTACATTATTTTCTAGCTCAGATAAGTACCCTTTCTATGATTGACTGCAATCAGTTCTCACTTCCTAAATGTTGAAATAGGCACACACACACAAACAAAACCCTTAATTAAAAATCAAAATCATCTAAAAATACTTATGAAAGTTATACAACAATAAAGTCCATACATCATAGCTTCTCCTACAATTCAGACTAAAGGTTAAACTACTTTCACCAATTCATAATTAGCCTAATAGCAACAGCAATACTCCAATAAGATTTTTTGGAAAAAAGAAAAAATTTCAGACAGAAAACAATAAGACTACAAAGTAAGAGAACAATATATTTGACAGATCAAAGATTTAGATTCAAAATTCCTTTAACCCAGGTTTTTTTTTTTTTTTTTTTTAGTACCAGGGATTGAACCCAGTGGTGCTTAATCGCTGAGGCACATCCCTAGGCCTTTTTTTTTTTTTTTTTAAATTTTGAGACAGGGTCGCACTAAATTGCTTAAAGCTTAGTTAAAAGGCTGAGGCTAGCTTTGAACTTGTGATTCCTCCTGCCTCAGCCTCCCAAGTTGCTGGGATTACAGGCATGTGCCACTGCACCTAGGCCTAGTACATATTTCTAGTACATATTTTATTGTTATATAACTTTCATAAATATTTTTAGATAATTTTGATTTTTAATTATGTTTTGTTTGTGTGTGTGTGTGCGCGCGCGTGTGTGTGCATGCCTGTTTCAGCATTTAGGAAGTGAGAACTGATAGCAATACAATCATAGAAAGGGTACTTATCTTTAACACACATTTAAAACACATCCCCAAAGTCTTTTAAAATAGAAATAAAGCATCAACATAAAAAAAGAGTCTTCTATCCAACATATCCTAAGATATACAAGGATTAATGTAACAACAGTTAAATTTTAAAACTGATGCCTTATGATGTGGGGGGAGGGTGTACTGGAGATTGAACTCAAGGGTACTTAACCACTGAACCACGTCCCCAGCCCTTTTTTGTATTTATTTAGAAACAGGGTCTCATTGAGTTGCTTATGGCCTGGCTAAGTCACTGTGGCTGACATTTGAATTCATGATCCTCCTGCCTCAGCCTCCCAAGCCACTAGTATTATAGACATGCGCAACTGCTCCCAGCTGAATATCCTTTTTAAAACTATAATCTAGGTTAAAATTGTTTCCTTTACCACATCATGATAAATCCCAGCTGAATATCCTTTTTAAAACTATAATCTAGGTTAAAACTGTTTCCTTTACCTCATCATGATAAATTCACTTGTACATACAAATTTTGTTTTACATTTTATATCTGAATAAAAACTAACTCCTTTATCACTTCTAAGTTAGCTTCTGATAGAAATTTAAATGTTGTGAATAATTTTTATATATTTGTTCTAATATAACATGACTATAAACCTCAGAGAAGATTTATCAGGTTGGAGACTTTACAGATGACACTCTGTCAATTGTAGTTCTGAAATTCTGTCCTCCTTAAAAAACAAAAGGAAACAAACAAAAAAACAGATACACAAATGTTTAAGCTTTTTCACAGCATAATAAGTCAAAGATATTAAAGGGAGGAGCAATACTTTGATACAGGGCTGGGGATGTGGCTCAAGCAGTAGCGCGCTTGCCTGGCATGCGTGCGGCCCGGGTGATCCTCAGCACCACATACAAAGATGTTGTGTCCACCAAATACTAAAAAATAAATATTAAAAAAATTCTCTCTCTCTCACTCTCTCTTAAAAAAAATACTTTGATACACACACCATACACACACAAACACACACACACACACAMAAAAAAAAAAAAAAACAGGACAGGCAAAATGGTGCCTGCTTGGAATCCCAGTGATTCAGGAGGCTCAGGCAGAAAATTAGAAGTTTAAGGCCAGCCTCAACAATTTAACTAGGAATGTAGCTCAATGACCAACCGTCTCAGTTCCACCCCAGTGCAAAGAAAAAAAATTCACTTGAGAACTATCTACTGGGAATGACCATAAAACTTGGAGATAAGACAAAGGCAAATGTTGATGATATTAATGCTACTTTCTAAACAGAATTGGAAAAATAATAATCATCAGAAAAGCAGTCAATTGTTCTTCAAATTACCTCCTATAATTTACTCAAACAGAAAAGGCAACTGACATTTCTAATCATCCCATCTAGTCCTATCTTCAGAACACTAATTTTAATTCAGTTATTTGATACAACTAACTACTCAAAAGACAGAATACCTATAACTATTCTACTGAAATGTTCACTGGCAACATCAAGTCAAACTCCAAACTCCTACTACCTAAAGAGGTGATTCTGAGGACAGAAGATAAAATAGAGTACCTCCTGAGGCTTTTCTGGGCCTCCAAAAGAGACAGAATTCTGAGTCTTCAATAAATACACATCTACCAAAAACTTGGGTATGCTACATACTAAAGAAGGAAAAATGTAGAGAATATGGGCACTCTTCTTAAGTAATTCAGGGTCCAGTGGGGTAGGGGAAGCAGGAAGGTAACAAATAATGATAATACTAAAACAAAACAAAGCTCTCTATAGAGAATGTCAACATCTCATGTATTCCTTATCATCTCCCCAAATCCCAGTTAGTTACTCCCATATGCCACTTAAATCCACACACAAAGGAAAAAGTCCCAATAGATTAAAGACTTGCCTAGTAAAGAAAAAAACTCTAAATGCATCAAAAATTCATCTACACTTCAAATTTTAAAATTTAAAGGGCATACTAGAAAAGTAAGCAAAGGATGTAAACTATTTATATGAAATGCCATACAACTGATCAACAGGCCAACAAAAAACTGTTCAATCTGAATAGTCCATGGTCAAAAGATGTAAAGGGGACCTCCACCAAAAAAAGAAAAGAAATCCAAGCGGCCAATAAACCTATGAGAAGTTGTTCAACCTCATTAAAAAATAGGAAAATGCTGGCAAATTATAATTACAAAGCATTAATAGGCAAATACCAAATACTAGTAAGGTTCTCAAGCAACAGGAACTCATAAAATGCTGGTAAAAGACTCTAGAAAAATTGTGCTTCTATATTAGAATGGGAGGAAAAAATACTCTATGATATTGTAATTCAACCACTAGGCAAGTGCCCCAGAGCAGTGTTATTCAAAGGGTAGACTGCAGATCCTAATGCTCAGAAAAAGCCCATACATATTTCTTCAAGTGCTTACAAACTGTAAATCTGCCAAATACTTGTGAATTTGTAACCAAAATTTTAGAATCTTCTATCCACAATAAAGTAAGATCTATTGACATAATGAGACTGCTAAGATAACTGTATACATTTAAATGAAGGAACCATAGATATTTTAAATGCTTCATTCTGTTCTCGTAAACAACTGCTAGATACCTCTCATTTAAATGTTTTGCTTTATGAAACCTTGCTCCAAAAAAATTAATGAATCAAAGATATTTTCCAKTCTGAGTTATTTAAGCTTTAACTACTTGGAGGTGGGAAGAGGGGTGGACTGGTTACTGGGTATAATACCCAGGGTCTCATACTTGCTAGGCAAATGCTTTACCACAAAGCTAYATCCCCAAACTTTCAAAACACTTTTGTTATGAGATAGGGGCTTTCTATGCTGCCTAGGCTGGTTTCAAACTTTGAATCCTTTTGCCTCAGCCTCCCAAGCAGTGGTTACAAGATTGTGCCAACATGTACAGTTTGTTTTAAAATTTTAACATTCTTCATAAGTACTTGACTTTTGAGTACTTATCATGTATGTTAGGAATGAGAAGACAGACCATGTAATATTTTTTAGACATGATAGAGTAAGTTATTCTGGAGTCAGAGAGAACCTTGTTCTTCAAAGTCTAAGGCCAAGAACCTTGTTGATATACTATTGTCAAAGTGTTTTTGCCGGGGCTGGGGATATAGCTCAGACGTGGAGTCGGCTCTCTATCCCTCCCTTTCCCCACTCATACACACACCCAACAGTTTCATCAAAATTGTTGAAAAAGATACCTTGGTGTTTTGCTTAGTAATGAAGTTTCCTTTTCTCTCTTTATTTACCCCTCCCCTTCCTCAGAAGGCAATGTAGGAACAAACAAAGTTAGGAAAAAACTAGACAGCTAAAGAAAAAAGAAAAGCAAAGATACAAATAACACCTACAAACAATGCTCAATAACATAGTTAACAGCCAACTAAAGCCAGGATGTTCGGTATGAATCTGGACATGGCCACTTACTGCCTGGCGACCTACAGAAAGTCAACCTCTAGATTTCAGTTTCCTTATACATATAAATGGCAGTAACTACCTCAAGGAATTTGTGGGGAAAAAAATTGTTAATATATATAAAGTAAAAGAACAACACTTCACAAATAATAAAAGCTATTGAAAAGCCACTAATATTAGTTGTGTTGCAACAGCAACACAAAAATACATTGTTCAGCCTCAACTTCTGTCAAGCTACTGCCTATCGGAAAAAACACCCTCTCACTTGAATACTTTATTTATTTTWTTTTTTTTTTTTAGGTTTTAGGTGGTCACAATATTTATTTTGTTTTTATGTGGTGCTGAGAATCGAACCCAGTGCCTCACACATGCTAGGCGAGTGCGCTACCAGTTGAGCCACATCCCTAGCCCCTCACTTGAGTACTTTCAATACATACCTTTATCTAACATTTCAAGTTCAGTTCCTACTTAAGCATAATAGAATTAAAATACTCATATGTCTGAGTAAACTCTGTCACACTCTTACATAAAATTTGATCAGTAAAAATAATAAATTGAAGGACTGGGGATGTGGCTCAAGCGGTAGCGCGCTTGCCTGGCATGCGTGCGGCCCTGGTTCGATCCTCAGGACCACATACAAACAAAGATGTTGTGTCCGCCGAGAACTAAAATAAATAAATAAATATTTAAAAAGAAGCCAGAAAACTTTAAAAAATAATAATAATAATAATAAATTGAAGAGAGCAGACATTCTTTCACATTGATTATAGAAAGTATCCATCCATTTCCTCTGGTTCCAGCAGGTATTTTTATATGTATTGTTTCAAAAAACTTACTTTAAAACTAAATGCAAGTTGGCAGAGAGTCGAGGATCTGTAAATTGTGTTGTTCTGTTGTTATGGTCAACGAAATAAACTCTGCCTGTTGCAGTATTACGGATCTCCCATCCAGGAGGCAAAGGACCAAGCTCTTCACAATTGATGTTGCTAAGATCCCTGCAAAAACAAATATAAAGTAAAAAATACCTCATTGCTGTGCCTGCTGAGCCAAGCAAGTGTAAATGACATACAACAATTCCATGAAGTCTGAGAAAATGTATTGTTTTAGAAACTTGAGATGTTGAGCTGGAATCTTTAATTCCCAGTGGTTTAACAAACTTGCATGTTCAAAACCCAATCCATAAACAGCTCAGAAGAACTTATCACAAAGCCTACGTTTTTAGTAGGTCAGTTTCTCGACTTTAATGTAACACAGATTTTAAATTAATATAAAAGTAATCACAACATTTGCCAACATAAACTATACTTCAATATTTGTTTGACAGAAAATACTGTGTTACAAGTATCAGTGATAAAAGGAAATAAATGTTTTCTAAAATTTCCCTCAACTATTTCTTTCTTTACTACATCAAAAATATGTGTAAATAATGTCTATTCCATGAGTAATTTTAAGCTCTCCAACAAAGCAAAACTGGAAATGTTTTTGAAATTATGATCCTATCATAAGTTCAAGGCTAGCCTCAGCAACTTATCAAGGCCCTACACAACTTAATGAAACCCTGTCTCAAAATAAAAAAAAATTAAAAGGCTCAGTGGTAGAGCACCTCTGAGTTAAATCCCAAATACAAAAAAAAAAAGAAGAAGAAGAAATTATGATCTTGAAAATAATCACAGCTTTTTTTTTTTAAAGGATAACTAGCTCATTTTGACTTTTGAAGTCTGTGAACTTGTGAATAAAAAACCTGTTTGATACACCAAAAGAACAACACACTAAGGCTAACTACCGCTGCAATAAAAAAAGCTAATAAACTTTTTTGGGGGAGGGGGTGGGGGTAACAGGGATTGAACTCAGGGGCACTCCCAAGTCACATCCCCAGCCCTATTTTGTATTTTATTTAGAGACAGGGTCTCACTGAGTTGCTTAGCACCTCACTTTTGTTGACTCGGGCTTTCAACTCTCAATGCTCCTGCCTTAGCCTCCCAAGCCGCTGGGATTACAGGCAGTTAATAGACTTTTTTAAAGCTGTATATGGATACAATATCTTTATTTATGTTTTTATGTGGTTCTGAGAATCGAACCCAGTGCCTTGCACATGCTAGGCAAGCATTCTACCACTGAGCCACAACCCCAGCCCAGTTAATGCATTTTAATGAACCAAAGGCCACTGTTATTATATTGCACACACTTAAAATACTATTATATATAAACAAGGATTTATAGGACCTTAAATAATAAGATAAGGAGCCTCAAGTTATTAAACACATTAAGGTGCTAGGAAGTTAATATGCTCTGAGTAGGCATGTCCTATACCTGACACTAGGCATTGCTTCCCTTTGGTTATTCATAATGAAACCAACAATAAGGACTATAAAATCCTATCTATCCTCTACACTGTTAGAACAAAAATCTTTCAGAGTGCAGATCCCAAAGTTACTGTCATCATCTACTGGGACAATGAAGTCACTGTCTTCCGTGACCCCACTAAAGCCTCATGTAACAATGAGTAATATGCTCAGGTCATTTCAAGCCCAAGTGAACCACTTCAAGCTACAGAAATTACCTGTAAATGCTAAGGAACTGCCACTCTTTGAAAGTGACCAAGAAAGCTCAAGCATCTAGACACTAAAACTGTTTGCCTTTTGTGGTCTTTAGGGGCTTGGGGGAAGGGGGCTTGAAAAGATACAAGCAGCATGTCTAAAGTAAATTTAAACTAGAACATAATTGTGCTGATAAGATTCTTCAAAACCACGTTTTAAAAGTTAAACTAGACAAAGATTTCCGCCCCACCCCCTCAAGTAACAGCTTGTTCTGGGTGAAACATGATGATGGGCACAAATGGGCCCTCATAGATTTGTTGAAATGATGACTTTGACTTTTGTTTAGAGGTGCTCCAAGAGGATTCTCCTGACCTACTCCAGGGCTCAGGATGCTGAGGGAGGAGGATGGTGAGTTCAGAGAAAGCCTCAGCAAATCAGCAAGGCCTTAAGCAACTTAGTGAGACCCTGTCTCTAAATAAAATATAAAAAGGGCTGGGGATGTGGATCAGTAGTTGAGCACCATGGGTTCAATCCCCAATATAAAAAAAAAAAAGAGAGAGATCCTCTACAAAACAACTAAAGTTTAAAGGGAAACATATATTTGAAGACATAGCTAGTCACAAAAGAAGCAAGGAAAAGCTCCAAGAATCCTACTAAAAGAGGTAGGGAGGGAGGGAGAAAAAGAGGGAAGGGAGGGAGGAAAATGAAGGTGGAGCTGGTACTTGAGTGGCCAGTGTGGAGAGAGAAAGGCCATCAGCAAGGTTGGGAAAGGAAACTAATAACTTTCCCCAAAAACTGAGATCTCAAAATAATGAGGTAATTCCAGGAAAACTACCTAAAATTCTACTTCAGGTCTCGAGAACCCCAACTAATCAAGATCAAATAATAAATTCACAATCTAAAATCACCAAACACTTCAGAAAAGAACAACATTGTTAAAGTCAGGAGAAACAATAAACCAGAATCAGATCCCCAAGCACTGTTAGAAATCAAAAAGAGAACAGTGATGATATGCAGTTTTTTAAAAAATTAAAAAGGTACCATTACAAAATGAACTATCAATGAAACATTATTAAAAAATAAATGAAGGGGCTGGATTGTGGCTTAGTGGTAGAGCACCTGCCTAGCATGTGTGAGGCCCTGGGTTCAATCCTTAGCACTATATATAAATACATAAAATAAAGGTCCATTTACAACTAAAAAGAAAAAATTTTTTTTAAATAAAAATAAATGGTGATATTTTCTTAAATGGAACTTTTATAAGTAAAAAACAATGATAGAAATCAAAGAATGAGAATTCTATTGATATAATGTAGAAACTAATTTTTATATTATTTTATTTAGAATTTTATTGATCTACAGTAATACATGGGAGAGGACTGACTAAAAACGTAAAAAACTGGAAATAATTTTTATGTCCAACTGGGAACTGATTAGAGAAAAATGGAATGTTATGCAGCCATAAAAATACAAATCTGAGCCAGGCACAGTGGTGCATGCCTGTAATCTCAACAACTCAGGAGGCTGAGGCAGGAGAATCACAAGTTCAAAGCTAGACTCAATGATTTAGCAAGGCCCTAAGCAACTTAGTGATACCCTGTCTCAAAATAAAAAATAAAAAGGGCTGGGGATGTGGATCGATGGTAGAACACCCCTGGGTTAATCCTTGATACAATTAATAAATGAATCTGAACTTCAAGACTATAGCCAATATACAATAAAATGAATAATTAGGCCTTAATCATTACTTTAAACAGAAATGCAAAGCATAATAAAATGGGACTTCTCAGATAAATTTAAGTGTATGGATATCTTTAAATGATAATTCAAGTTTATCTTTCTCGCTGCCGCAAAATCATTTTTCTTCTATATACGTCTTACCAATGACTTTAAGTAATTTTAAAGAAAAGCTCATTATTTATCTTCAATTTGATAAACAGAATCCAAAACACTTCCTTTCATAATTTAACAAATTCTGATTTCTAAAAGTTAGGACCTTAAATTTTTTTCCCAAGCTTAACTTAAAAGATACAAAATTCTCTCTCTACTACTAGTTAAAATTTAACATTTATACCACCAAGAAATGGCAACTTGAGCATATTTTGCTGGCTGCCACCCTCAAAAGATTCTAATTAAATTATATAATCAAATATTTTCTATAGTTTTATTTATAAATAAATAGCAAGTGTCAGGGCAACCCAACATCAGCTAGTCACATCTGTTTTTTGATTCAGTTACAAACAGAAGACTGAGTCAGCTTTAGGAAGGAATGTTCTCTTGACACTCCCTGGGTTTTTTTTATGTTGAGGGGGTTGATATACAAAACATCCTCACTTTACAAAGGTACACATGTACCACAGAAAGTTGATTTAGAACTTAATTTTGAATTCCAAGCTTTTTGGCAAATCAGGCTGCACTACTTGGTACTTTGTACATGCTCATTAGAAAAATAACTCAAGCTGGGCTGGGATTGTGGCTCAGAGGTAGAGTGCTCGCCTAGCATGCGTGAGGCACCAGGTTCGATCCTCAGCACCACATAAATATAAAATAAAGACATGTGTCCACCTATAACTAAAAAAAATAAATAAATATTTAAAAAAAGAAAGAAAAATAAAAGAAAATAACTCAAGCTAGCAGTGAAGCATGCCTATAATCCCAGGTCTACTGGGAAAGCTGAGGAAGAAGAATTGCAAATTCAAGGACAGCCTGGGCAACTCAGGGGGACCATGTCTCAAAATAAAATATAAAAAGGGCTAGGGACTTATCTCAGTGGTAAAGTGCCTCTGGGTTCAATCCCCAGTTTCGAAAAAAAAGAGGAAAAAAAAAAAAACCTAAATATTTAGTACCAGAATGTATTTAAAATTACACTAATTATTAAATTGATTTGTGTGTCATTCCATCTTCTTGAAGTCAGAATACAACTGATATTTTGGTTAACAAATGCAATGCCTACAGTTCAAATGTATAAGTTTTAATTTTTAAATAAAATGGAATTGGAATTCTAAGCTGTTTTCTTTATTCTTTTTCTGGTACTGGGGATTGAAGCCAGGGAGCTCTACAACTAAACTAGATCCTCAGCTCTTTTTAGTTTGTTTATTTGCAGTACTGGAGGTCGAACTCAGGGCCTTGTGCATGCTCAGCAAGTGTTCTACCACTGAGTTATATCCCCAACCCTTTATTTTTTTATATCAAGACAAGGTCTCACTAAATTGCAGAGGCTGGCCTTGAACTTGCCATGACCCTGTCTCAGTCTACAGAATTGGGATTATAAGTGTGTGCCACCATACTCAGTCACTTATTTTCTTTTCTGCATCAAAATGAAACTATTAAGGAACACATAGAAGATCGCTGAATAATTTGTACAAGATTAAAAATTTTTAACTTAATAAAAAAGCCTGACCAGAAATAAAACTTATTATCTCCTACCTATTTTTTCCTGTCTTTTTAAAAATTAATTTATTTATTTTAATTTGTTATACATGACAGGAGAATGCATTTCAATTCATAGTACACATAAAGAGCACAATTTTTCACATCTCTGGTTGTACACAAAGTAGAGTCACACCATTCATGTCTTCAAACATGTACTTAGGGTAATGATGTCCATCTCATTCCACCATCTTTAATCTCTACCTATTTTAAATGCAATATTTTAGCCCATGTTTTGGCTTGCCTTTTTTTTGATACTTGGGATTGAACACAGTGATGTTTTACCACTGAGCTACATCCCCAGCCCCGCCCCCCTCTTTTTGTTTCCTTTTCCCAGAAACAGGGCCTTGTTAAATTGTTGAGACTGGACTTGAACTTGATCCTCCTACCTCATTTAAAATGAGACTGCAAACTGGGGGCAGTAGTGCACGCCTGTAATCCCAGTAGCTTGGGAGGCTGAGGCAGGAGAATCAAAAGTTCAAAGCCAGCTTCAGCAAAAGTGAAGCGCTAAACAACTCAGTGAGACCCTGTCTCTAAATAAAATACAAAATAGGGCTGGGGATGTGGCTCAGTGGCCAAGTGCCCCTGAGTTCAATCCCTGGTACCAAAATAAGGGAATAGGTGTGATTGCATATGCCACAATGCTCAGCTGTCTCACTTTTTTTTTAAAGGGATCAGAAAAGGGGACTGGACACTGGTGGGGGGAACTGGTGAGACTTCAGAGAAACAGGTAAGACTTTCTACTGAATGTCAAACTCAAATGACTGTCAGAGTCAAACATATATATAAACTATTTTTAAAAGTTAAATATCTTTTTTAAAAACTGCAAGAAACCCAAAGTAAGATGTATATTCATTGTATGAAGAGTACTTAAAATATATTCTTACCTAGGTACTCTTGGATCATGCCATGTGCTCACACCAGTTTGAGTGTGTAAGAAATATACCTGACCTTGTTGCGTTGTCCTCTGTTCTGTAAAATAAAGAAAACTAATAAGAAGAACAAAATTCAGAATGTCCAAATCAAATACTTTTACATACTCTGGGATGACATACTAATAGGGAAAATTTCCAGTCTATTTCATTATGAAAACCAGCTTCACAAATCACTTTTTCTGTTTCCTAGAAACAATTATATGAAAGTTACAGACCAGATATCTAAAACCTAACTAAACTTATAATGTAGTGCAATCGCAATGGAAAATAGAAAATAAGACTGTGATAACACCAATAAGTAAACAAGACAAAGGTAAAGAAGTGATCTCTTTTTTTGGAACTAGAGACTGAACTCAGGAGCACTTAACCACTGAGCCAATCCCCAGCCCTTTTTATGTTTTATTTTGTGACAGAGTCTCACTAAGTTGCTTAGGGCCTATGTTGCTAAGGCTAGCCTCAAACTTATGACCCTCCTCCTCAGCCTCTGAGTTGCTGAGATTGAAGACATACACCACCATGCTGGGCCAGAAATGTATTCTTTCAACTATATTTAGGCTAAAACAGACACACAAAAAAGATGAGCTACAAGGAACACATTATAAAATCACAAACAGGTAAAGGGCTGGGATTGTGGCTCAGTGGTAGAGTGCTTGCCTAGCACATGCGAGGCCCTGGGTTCGATCCTCAGCACCACATTAAAAAATAAATAAATAAAATAAATGTATTGTGTCTAACTACGACTAAAAAAATTAATATTTTTAAAAAGTTTTTAAAAATTCAATATACAAGACAACAAAACCATTGTTAATATTTATTAGCAGAAATTTATTTATAAGCTTCTAATTAAGTCAATAAACTTAAACTGCAAACTTTAAAAAATTTTAAACAAAAATGTTTAAATTCAGTTACAGATGACAGCTGTAATAATTTCAGCCTTGGTATCTACCTTATTTCTGTTTTAGTTGTATAAAATTTTTTTTAATCTAGATCACACAATATTATAAAAGTATAACTACTCCTATTCCAAATAGCTTGCCTTATAATCTCAAAGATAAATGGCGAAAGATAACTTTATTTTAAGATCTATACATTGACAATAACAGCTAGATTTTATTGAGCATTTTCTATGCCACTCTTTCAGATACTTCACATAAAATATCATTTATTCATGCAATAAACCTACACTATTGGCACTATTACATTTCCCGTATGTTCACAGAGGCTAAATACTATGCTCAGTGTAACATGGCAAAGCTGGGATGTGAACTGAGGTTTGTCTGTTTCACATACTGTAAAGTAATCTCTGAGCCATAGCACAGTTAGTGCACAGTTTTTTTCTTTTCCAAATTATAGAGCTAAAAATGGCCCTGCACAATGGTGTATGCTTATAATCCCAGTGACTTGGGAGGCTGAGGTGGAGGATTGCAAGTTCAAAGCCAATCTCAGAAACCTAATGAGGCCTTATGTAACTTAGTGAGACCCTGTCTCGAAATAAAAATAAAAAGGGCTATGGATGTGGCTCAGTGGTAAAGAACACCTGGCTTCAATGCCCAGTGCCAAAAGCAAAAAAAAAAAAGAGCTAAAATATGTTATTTGTTGTTGTTTTTTGGTACCAGGGATTGAACACAGGGCACTTTATACTATGGAGCCAAATCCCCAGCCCTTTTTTATTTTTTATTTTGAGACAGAGCCTCACTAAGTTGCAAGTTGTTGAAGCTGGCTCTGCACTTGCAATCCTCCTGCCTCACTTCCCAAGTTGCTGCCTGCTGTAAAATATGTTTTAAAATAAAATTAGAATCATGAATTTGCAGAATAGTTTTTTAAATAACTCAATTAAAAATAAGAAAACTTAGATTAGGCAATTCCCAATGTTGGTCATTAGGTGTCACCATCAGCCCAAAATAATTTATCTACAGTCAGTGCTAACAGGGCAAAAATTTAGTTAGCTTTTTAGCAAGCAAGCGATGCCAGTCAAGTTCATAAAATGCTAGTGTTTGTAAGGAGTGATTAGAAAGTCTGTATTCAATTAGAAGATTCACATTATCTTCCACATGAAATTCTATAATTCCAGGAAATTACCTAAGAGTAAAATCATCTTATACAAAAAAGTGACTAAATCATTTACAATAATCCCGTCACTCAGATAATCAAAAATTATAGATAACAAAGAACAATAAACACCATAAGAAATACGCCTTTGAAATTATTCCTAAATATGTTTATCCAAAACCAAAAACCACACTGTATGTCTAACTTCAGATGACCTTTATCAATAATAATGCTACCATACCTTTATACAGTGCCTACTTGCAGAGTTGTCTCACTATGATTCAGGTTTCTCACAATACCTTGTGATAAGGTATTAGTCACATTTAATTTAAAAGAGCATAAAAGCTAAAGTAATTAGTCAAACATTGGTTAGGTAGTCTTCTAACACTTCAAAGATTTTTCAAAGTTGGGAGGTTTTATATTTGCTTTTATTTTCATGCAGAATCCCTAAGCTCAGATTAATAAATTTTTAAGTTAATTTTTGTTCTTAGAAACTAAAATCAGTAAGCCACATTTTGTTTTTCCTTTGCTAGTAGTCATACCATAGCCTTCTGGTAGGTCTGGAGGAGTGTGTAAATGTGTCCTGCTCATATAATTTCTATGTCGTTGAGACCTGACTCTCCTCTCTGCCAGCCTGGGATCTGAAGACTGTCCACATGTTGCACCATTTGTTCCACTAATTGGAGTATTCTCATCAACAAAGCAGCTAAGAGGTCTGCCAGGACTAGAATATTCAGATGCCGGTCTATTGAAAAGTAAAAAGGAAACAAAGTTATCAATTTAGATATCAAAAGTAGAGTTCTCTACAGTAACAATCACTTATCATATAAGAAAATGGAATGACTGACACAAACATAATGATTTAAGAACTCTGGCAAAAGCAAGCCTGAAAGCTTTAGGCACCAGAGAAATGGAAGTGATTAGCATGTCAATTATATATTTAAATATTGGTTTTAATTGCTTTTTATATAAAGTCCAGATATTTATAGATTTGAATACTGGATTTACAAAGCATAACTTGACGTAATACAACCGACCTCTCAGACCTGATTTCCCACCATTCTCCCTCCCAACTTAGCTTCAGCCACACTGATACTCTTTCTGTTCCTTGAACTTCTCAAAAGTCATTTTACCTTTAGTCCTCAAAAACGGTACCTTTTCATTCCACCTAAAATACTCATTTCTCCTATTATCCCTGGGCTTGGTTCTTTTTTATCATTTAAATCATAATTTACACTTGATGCCTCCTTAAGAGGTCTTTCCAATCTTCTAAACTAAAGAAGTCATCCAGTCGTTTGATAGTCCAGACAGAACCCAACCTATGATAGTTCACCTTATGATTTTTTTGACTTTACAATAGTGCAAAAGCAACCAATGTTTATAGCAACAGTACTTCAAATTTTTATCTTTTCCTGGGCTAGCAAGTAATACACATAGCATACTCTCAAAATGCTAGACAATTGGCAGGGAACTGGAGCTGCCAGTCAGGCATATGATCACAAAAGTAAATGACAGTCTACAGTACACTATGTTGGGTGTGGTATGTTAAGTATATTCAATGAATTTCTGACTTAAGGTATTTTTAACTTACAATGGGTTTATCAGATATTATCCAATCAAGTTGAGGAACATCCATACCTTGCCTTAGTTCCTCAACACAGCAGTTATCTCTGGTATTTTTCATTTTTTACAATCTTGTTTTTGTTCATATTCCCCCACTAGAATATTTATTGAAAAGGGGGGTGGGAAGTCTGCTAATTTTATTCCCTACTATCACCTAGTGCTTGTTGTGTTAGTACAAGTAGCTCAATAAATACCTATTGAATGAATAAAGGAAAGAAGCTATTTGTCTCTATCAAGGAGCTTTCAGACTTATTGGAAGTCTTCCAAAACAAAATATTCAAGAATTCATTTTTACAATAACATTTATAAGAACCAACATTTTATACATGTGGAAATTAATTCTATCAACTTAATGAATTAGAAGGAAATAGGCTTCATTCAAACACTGACACACATACCCATTCACTTACGCTCATTTATAATAAATATGTTTTTCAACTTCAATAAAATCCTTGACAGTTTATGCTACAAATGCAACATCTTTAAAAATGGCAACATAAACTAAGCTTTACTTGACAATTACAATGTGATAGAGAAATTTTATGATTCCAATGAGCTAATCAATTAATTCCCAATAAGTAAAAGAGGTAAAGCTTATGAGAAGCAATCGATAATCTATTTCTGGTGCCAGTCCTGCCCAGTAGAAGGAAAAAAGCAAACAAAACACTGAACAGAGATGACAAATAAGCTTTGATTTTGCTTTTTAAAAGAAGAAAATGTGAACGGATAATTATGAATGTAATGCACTCCACTATTGTCATGTATGTAAGAAATAAATTTTTTAAAAAAAGAGGAAAAGGCGGGCTAGTGTTGTGGCTCAGTGGTAGAGTGCTTGCCTTGCACATGTGAGGCACTGGGGTCAATCCTTAGCGCCACATAAAAATAAATAAATAAAGATATTATGTCCACCTACAACTAAAAATATTTTCTTAAAGTTGGCAAGGAGAACTAAGTCACTTACTCTATTCATTTTCAGTTACTTTAAAAGCATGTCTTTATAGTTCTCAAAAATGAGCTTGCACCCTGATGTCTTTATAAATTAAGCTCCATAAAAAAGGGACTACATGTCTACCATTCTTCAAGGTTTAATTCAGAGTCACCTCCTTCACAGTTTTCCTTTGCAACTTCAACCAGTTCCTCATCACCCACTCTAAGGTAGGTGCCCCTCCATAGTGTTCTTATCTTGATCACAGACCTTACTTGGACTTGATATAATATGATCTCTTTATGTGACTGAAAGAATAGAGACCCTGTACACATATTTTATAATGACCATTCAATAACAGATGTAACCACAAGCTCAAAAAAAAAACCCCACAGATACCCAGAAATAAAATGATTATTCAATTTATTCAAGTGATTCAATTAATAAAGATATATATTGGTACTGGGGAATTGAACCCAGAGATTCTTTACCACTGAGCCACATCTCTAGTCCTTTTTATTTTTTGAGTCAGGGTCTCACTAAGTTATTTAGAGTCTTGCTTATTTGCTGAGGCTGGCCTCAACCTGTAATCCTCCTGCCCCAGCCTCCTGAGTCGCTGGGATTATAGGCATAGACCACCATGCCCAGATCAATTAATGTTTATTAAATAATACCATAGGCCCTGGCGCTCCAATACCAGGATGACCTGTCAAACAATCTTTCTTGATGATTATTACTACTTGGGGGGTGGGTACCAGGGATTGAACCCAGGGGTGTTTACCCACAGATCCAGAACCCAGCTCTTTTTTTTATATTATAGACTGTCTCCATGAGTTGTTTAGGGCCGCAATGCTGAGACTGGCTTTGAACTCAAGATCCTCCTGCCTTGGTCTCACAAGCTGCTGGGATTATAGGCGTGTACCACTGCACCCAGCTGTTGATGATTATGTTTTTTTTTTTTTTAGGTGTAGATGGACACAATACCTTCACTTTATCAATTTATGTGGTACTGAGGATCGAACCCAGTGCCCCATGCATGCAAGGCAAGCACACCACCACTGAGCCACAACCCCAGCCCCGATGATTACTTTTTCTTTTTTTTTTTTAAGAGAGAGTGAGAGAGGGGAGAGGGAGAGGGAGAGGGAGAGGGAGAGGGAGAGGGAGAGAATTTTTTTAATATTTATTTTTTAGTTCTCGGCGGACACGACATCTTTGTTGGTATGTGATGCTGAGGATCGAACCCGGGTTGCACGCATGCCAGGCGAGCGAGCTACCGCTTGAGCCACATCCCCAGCCCCAACTTTTTAAAAATGATAGCAAATATCTGCTCTAAAATCTACGAAAACAATCCAGTAAAGATGAGAGATAAAAAGAAAGGAAGTTCAAGAAAGTGACTAGCAAAAACTATCAGAAATACCTATATGTTCTTACCGTGTTGGGCGTTCCCATTGTGTAGTTCTTGTTATGTGGTTAAGATACTGAATTCTTCCAGAGGCAGTTCGCCTTTCTTCCCAGCTTAAATAAAAATATTGAAAGATAAGGCATTAATAGGATTTAATAGGAAACTAGGACACTGAAGATTTTCACTGTGATCACAAAGGTTATCTACTATCACAAATCAGACCAAATGGAAGGATCAAATCACAGAATAAAGATTTTTTTTCAATTTACTTTAGAACTACATGATATATTTTATGAAATGCTGAGCTTCTAAAATATTTACACTGAGATGTGACAAATATCTTTCCATCAGCTACAGTGAGAATTTTCAATGATGTAACACTCAAATTATACTAATTTAGTGAAAAATGGCACTATTAAAAATATGTTTAACCATAAATTAATGTAGCTAGTAAGCACAAAACTAAGCATTGGAATCCAGGTGGCCTAAAAAAAAAATCACTCTCAATTTTTTAAAGTAAAATTTCAAAAAGCATATATTTAAAAAGCTTTCAAAGCAATCTGTCTATCCAAACTTTTTTTTTTTTTTTTTTTTTTTGATGGTGCTGGGGGTTGAACCTAGGGCCTTGTGCATGTGAGTCAAGCACTCTACCAAACTAATTTTTAAAAAATCAAGAATGCCACTTATCCCTCAACTTTTTATTGCAAATCATATAATGAAAAAGGCAAAGGACTACAGATATGTAATATTTTCACCAAAATATTAGCAGAGTTTTGGGGAGATTAACTTTTTAGCAGAAAATGAAAAAGATGCTAGGGGGTTCCTCCCCCCACCATAGTACAATAGTCATGGGCAAGTTAGACTAATGAGCCCATATTGCTATAATCTCTCAATATTAATTAATTATTTCAATCTAAACCTCCCCTTCAAAAGTATCATATTCTACCTCACATCCAGAAAAGACTTAACAGACATTAAAAAGCTGAAGTGGTCTATAAACAGAGTTAATTATAGCAATTTTTAATAGTTTAAATAAATTGAGCAAATACCACAGCTTAGATGTAAACATTTCTGTCAAAAGCTGGGTGAGATGGAACACGCCTATAATCCCAGCAATTAGGGAGGCTGAGGCAGGAGGATAGCAAGTGTAAAGCCAGCCTCAGCAACTCAGTGAGGCACTAAGCAACTCAGCAAGACCCTATCTCTAAATAAAATATAACAAAGGGCTGGGGAACAACAAAGTAGCTCAGTGGTTGAATGTCCCCGAGTTTAATCCCAGGTAGAAAAAAAATCCATCAAAAATAATTTGAATTGAAACAAAACCAATTATATACTTCAAATGGATCCAATTTATTGTGTGTAAATTACACTTCTTTAAAGTTAACTAAAAATACTTTGAAAGTTAAAAAAAAATTAAAGACAAAATTAGTATCAAAGATAAAGAGTAGTGATAGAGCTGGGGCTGGGACTCAGTGGCAGAGCGCTCGCCTAGCACCTGTGAGGCACTGGGTTAGATCCTCAGCACAACATAAAAAATGAAAATATAAAATAAAGGTGTTGTGTGCATCTACAACTAAAAATATTTTTTTAAAAAAGATAAAGAGTAGTGATAAAGATCAAGAGCTTAGGAATTAAAACTCAGGTATGTGCTCCAGCTCTGCCACTTACTATGTGAGCTTAGACAAGTTACTTTACTTCTCTGAGCCTCAGTTTTTTTATATGTAAAATGAAAGAGAGGCAATAATAGTAATAACAGAAACAATAGTAGCTAAAATTAAACACTGTATGCAAGATACTAAAGTGCTTTAAGTAAATGATTTCATTTAAWTTTCTCAACAATTTATATTATCAATCATCCTTCTTAATAAATAAATAAATAAACTGAAGCTTACAGAAGTTAAATAAATCAATTAAGGTCATAAAGAAGAGTAAGGACTGGAACCAAAGTGATCAAACACCAGAATTGTATGTTCTACACTACCTTCCAAGATGTTTTAAGAATTAAATGACGTAATGTTTATAAAGTGCTTATAACAGTATTTGATCCATACATGTTCAATAAATGCTACTTTGTCGTAATTACTATTACCCAAATTATCTTTTCCAACCCTCTAAATAGAGCAATGTTTCAAATCTAGTACCTACATGGTCTCTTTGGAATAATTTAATCAAGCAAAAAAAGTTTTTCTTTTAATAGATAATATGTGTAGAAGAGTTATATTTAGCAAAATATTTTCACTTGCTTCTTTGTCAAAASTTTTTTTATAAAAAAAATAAAATTTAACAGACCAAACTCATAGCCTATTTTATAAATTTGTTATGACAAGATCCTTCTAATTTTCCAATTAGAAAGAAAACCTTCATTATGAAATTGATCAAGCAAATTTCTAAAGCATATAGTAAATATCAACTTTTTTATTATTTTACAGATAATCTTTATATATTTCTCTAATGATTTTAGTGATATTAGCTTACCCATCTGGTAAATCATTATCAAACAAACGACTGCAGTCCACAACTTGTCCTCCTGTACCTATTCGGTCTCTGGACTGAAGACTTACTATTGTAAACAACAGAAACATTACTAAGATTCATAGAAAGAACTATTACAATCTAAAATATCTTATCTTTAGAAGGCATCTGGCTTAGCTTTTTTTAATACCTTAGTAAAATCTATAGTTTATTTTCACATAATTTTGCTCTTTAAGAGTAATGTTAAAAAATATTAAGGTTTTCTACACTTTCTCATGTTCTTGGAGAAAAGTCTAATTTATTGTAATGGGGCAATCCAAGGTCACTATTGGACTTAAGAGACACAACACATTAATGGTATACTCATGTATAAAGAGGTTAGAAAAGCTCACATTCATTTGGGTTTMATTCTTGATAATCTGACCATCTTTTAAAAATACCCCAAATTTGGCAATAAGCCAGTCCTTACACTCTGTGAGTTTTAACAATATGTCATCCTATTACACTAGTGCATTGTAATACCATCACTATAAACAGGACATATGAACTGAAGAGTGGTCTCTATCAACTAGCTTGGCACTGAAACCTTGGACAAAATACTTACCAACCTAAGGTTGAAAGAGAGAGAGAGAGAGAGAGACACAGACACAGACACACACACACACACACACACACACACACACACAGTAAAACGTTTGATGCCTTACTATTAAACAACAGAAACATTACTAAGATTCATAGAAAGAACTATTACAATCTAAAATATCTATCTTTAGAAGGCATCTGGCTTAGCTTTTTTTAATACCTTAGTAAAATCTGTAGTTTATTTTCACATAATCTCAGCTACTGGGGAGATTGAAGCAGGAGAATTTCAAATTCAAGATCTGCTAGGGCAACTTAATGAGACCCAGTCTCAAAAAGATGAGGATGTAGCCAAGAGGTAGAGGACTCCTAGCTTCAATCCCCAGTACTGGGGGGCAGAGTGGGGGATTAAAACATTTGTTTTCTATGTAGTATACTCCAGTATTTCTAATGTAAAACAAAATATCCTATTTTTATAAATGTAAATTTATACCCAGTAAAATGATTTTGTTACTCCTAGATATTAGTTGGCAAGCATTACCTAACATCAAATCAAATACAGTAGAAGCTATTGCATGTAAAAGGACTGTATGCCAGGATTTTTTTTTTTTTTAAAGAGAGAGAAAGAGAATTTTTTAAAAAAAAATTTTTTTTCAGTTTTTGGCAGATACAACATCTCTTTATTTGTATGTGGTGCTGAGGATCAAACCYAGCACCCCGCGCTTGCCAGGTGAGCGCGTTACCGCTTGAGCCACATCCCCAGCCCCCAGGATTTATTTTTGACATGTTTTTTACACCTTTCTCAATTAAAGAATGACAGGCATTCTCAATAATTCTGTAATGCAAATACTTCCCTGGGATAAACCCCAAAAGAGCTTTGTTATGTGGCTACTGTGGCAGTTCCCCAACTATGAAACTAATGCATTGCCTTGTAAAATGAAGTCTTCCAAATACTTAGGAACTAAAATCTTTCTGGCAGACTCATAATAAAATCAGTTTAGTCTAAATTCTGCTCTATCAAGAAGTATAAGATTCCAATTGCATTTTCTTCTTTTAATTAAAAAAGCTTCAAAAGTGCCTTCCTCAGTGTCCTACTACACCGTGCATCTTCATCAAATCTCAGTATACCAAGTCTTTTTTTGTTGTGTTTTTTTAACTTGCAGTCAATTTATTAAACTCTGCAGGATTACAACTTCATATTAAATAGCCTCCTTCTATTTCATATGGTTTCCATGTGATTGCATCAAGGATTAGCCCCATGCCCACTGAAACTCCTCCAGTACTTCCTGCACATAGGGCTTCCTGCACATCAGTGCTTGGGTCTTGTCTTCTGGTGCTTTGTGTGCTTGTGCCTTCTCCAGGGAGGCCAAGGAGGCAGCTCCGCAACAGGCGTTCAGTATACAAATTCTTAAGAAAAGTCTCCAGAAATATTGTATGAAGCCTTTTTCTCTAGGTCAATTTAAGACAGTCTATTAGCCCATTTCTAACTGAGTGCCTTATGACTCAGGTGGAATTTCACCCTCATTTCCATTTAGTGTTACACTGCTATTGTTCATTCTATTTTTTTAGCACCATTTTCAAAACTGTAAAGCATTCAACATTAAACAAAGCATTAAATTTTAAAAGTTCAATATTCTATTCTTACTCTTACTCCAAAACTAGTTCAAGAATTTTCAGAAAACTTTAATAACCATTTCCCAAGTTTACCTCAGTGCTCTACCATATTTCAGTACTTTGAAAGAATTCCTGGCTTAAAGAAACAAAATAACAACACTAGAAACTACAAATTTTTTTTATATTAAGATTTTTAAAAATTAAGTTAACCTGAATTCTGTATATACTGTAGCATTTTTCATGACTCATCTTTAATTAATGCCAATACAGTGAAGCTGTATTTATTATATTTTGAATTAGAATTTATTATATTTTGAATTATATATTTGAATTATTATATTCTGAATGAGGTCAAAATTCACATAAATTTAAATTGGACACTTACCTACTATCTGTCCTCTAACTGTATCATTGTCATTTGGCCCAAGTTTGCATAGATCCAACCTCTGATCTATTTCAAATCAACAACAACAAGAAAAAATTTTAATTAACTGGAAATTAATTCTAACATCTATTAAGTGACAATTTACATAATCCATTAGAAATCAGATCACTTAAGGAATTAATCATGTTTTAATTATAATACAAATTTCAAAATACTCTTAGCTGTATATATAATTAGTATAAATATCTCAACAAGTGTTGGTAATTAGGACTTCAAAAATTACAACAACAGTGGTGTATTACATTGTCAATAGGTAGTTTTTTCTTTCCAAAGCTTTCAAACTACTTCAGTTTTAGTTGTGGCTTACATCTGAATAGCTGTTGGTCTTAAACAACCTGAGCCTTGGTTTTCTCATATATGATAAAACTTGCCTTCGATTTTTTTTATAACTTTATTTATTTATTTATTTATATGTGGTGCTGAGGATAGAACCCAGGGCCTTGCATGTTCAAGGCGAGCGCTCTACCTCTGAACCATAACCCCAGGCCCTTACCTTAGATTTTTAAAGGATTAAATGAGATAATTACAAATCTCAGTACAATATCTGGCATGTAAGTGTTCAATAAATGTTAGTTGACATTATTATTATTATTTTTATGCAACCATTCCAAATGACACATACACACAATAAATATTAATAAGAAGCCAAAGGAAAACTTAAGATCTGGGTTTGATTTAGTTCTGCCACTAATCATTTAGGGGCAACAAATTTATTCTCTTCAGTGCCTCAATTGTAAAACAAATACAACTTTGACCTGGCCCTCTAAGGAACAATGTCACCCATTAGCATGGTGGTTTTACTTTAATTATAACACATATAGCATTTTAAAACTTGCTTCTTAAATAATCATGAATTGGTAAAAGGAGGAGACCATATCTTAGTCTTTGTATCCTCCAATTCAATCTGGAAGAACACTACATCAGGTGCTTAAAAATGGCTGATACTAGCCCATGGCACACGCCTGTAATCCCAGCGGCTTAGGAGGCAGAGGCAGGAGGATCACGAGTTCAAAGCCAATCTCTGCAATTTAGTAAGGCACTAAGCAACTCAGTGAGGCCCTGTCTCTAATAAAATGGAAAACAAGGCCAGTGGTGTGGCTCAGTGGTCAGTGCCCCAGAGTTCAATCCCAGTTTAAAAAAAAAAAATAGTTGATACTATCACTACATATCAAAAAACTCAAATAAATTAATGCTATAAAACATTTACAAGCAGCACAAAGAAAATTCTGTACCCCAAACTACAACTGCTGGCTATCCAGACAAAAACACAAAATGTTTTTTCCCTCTGCAAAATAAATGGTGCTACTGGGTTGGCTATACAGTGGATGTCTGCAGAGCATGTTCCCTCTTCTCCTATTCAGTTCTTCCAATGTGGCATACACCCTTTGTCAGAGGCTTTTGCTTTTACTTCTCAGTCAACAAGATCCATGCCTTTTTCATCTTTGTATCACCAAGGTTCAATAAACATTGTGTAACCTGAACAAGGGATAATGCCAGACATTTATTTGATCTGTAAGTTTTACATTTGCCTGCTGGATTGGGAAATAAATGTTTGTTTTTACATGTAGACCTTTTCCAAACCCAACCTCTCTTTCCTGTTGGTCATCACCCTGTTAACCCAGAAATTTAAGGATTTCTCAGATTCCTTTAAATTCCTGTGATTCAGAATTTCTAGCTCTGTTTTCTCCCTTTTTCTTAACAGGTGAACATTTGTAAATCTGGGCTGTGGTATTGCAGTCCATTAAAAGAGTTCATCTCTTAATATATATTCAATGCTATATTTACTGTTTTTTAAACTTAAGTTCCTTAGTTAAATTTTATGAGTTTATTAGTACAGGAATCTGGGCCAAAATTTCATGATAATAACAATATTTCTTTATATTGTATAAAAAAGAATTTTGTAGAAACAACAACAAAAAAAATCTGTTGAAAAAGATATTTCCGGGCTGGGATTGTGGCTCAGCAGTGGAGCGCTCACCTAGCACGGGCGGGACCTGGGTTCGATCCTCAGCACCACATAAAAATAAAGACATTGTGTTTTGTACATCTACACCAAAAAATAAATATTAAAGAAAGAAAAACATATTTCCATATATGTTCCAATGGGAAGACATTACAAAACTATAGAAATAATTTTTAATTTTTATCATACATGCCACTCTCAGCTTTGTCAATTATATGAATTACACTTGTTAAAAATCAATCTGTCCATCTGTTATGGATATAACTTCTAACATCTTGATTTTGGTATATCTCCTAAAGGCCAGGCTGATGATAAACTGAACCTAATTTATAGTTAAGTAGCTAATACAACTATGTTGTACTCAAAATAATGTCTTATCTTTCTTTAACTTTTAATTTTGTTCAGCAGTTTTATATAACAATCTTATCTACTAAAAATTCTCCCTTAACTGCCACCTTAAACACTCCAATCACCTAAATAAAAACTCAATTTCATCTCACAGATCCACCAAAACCAGAAAAAGATGCTAAGAAATTTAAAGAGCATGCTACAGGGACACTGCTACATCGATGTTCATAGCAGCACAATTCACAATAGCAAGACTGTGGAACCAACCTAGATGCCCTTCAATAGATGAATGGATAAAAAAAATGTRGCATTTATACACAATGGAGTATTACTCTGCATTAAAAAATGACAAAATCATAGAATTTGGAGGGAAATGGATGGCATTAGAGCAGATTATGCTAAGTGAAGCCAGCCAATCCCTAAAAAACTAAGAAAGGCAATTTGTCAATCAATGGAAGGGTAACTGATGTGATTCAGCAATCTGTATATGGGGTATAATTGGGAGTTCATAACCCACTTGAATCAAATTGTGAAATATGATGTATTAAGAACTATGTAATGTTTTGAACGACCAACAATAAAAAAAAAAATGCCAAATGTCTTCTTTGATATAAGGAGAGTAACTAAGAACAGAGTAGGGACGAAGAGCATGAGAAGAAGATTAACATTAAACAGGGATGAGAGGTGGGAGGGAAAGCGAGAGAGAAGGGAAATTGCATGGAAATGGAAGGAGACCCTCAGGGTTATACAAAATTACATACAAGAGAAAGTGAGGGGAAAGGGAAAAATAATACAAGGGGGAGAAATGAATTACAGTAGAGGGAGTAGAGAGTGAAGAGGGGAGGGGAAGGGAGGGGAGGGGGGATAGTAGAGGATAGGAAAGGCAGCAGAATACAACAGACACTAGTATGGCAATATGTAAATCAATGGAAGTGTAACTGATGTGATTCTGCAATCTGTATACGGGGTAAAAATGGGAGTTCATAACCCACTTGAATCAAAGTGTGAAATATGATATGTCAAGAACTATGTAATGTTTTGAACAACCAACAATAAAAAAATTTAAAAAAAGGTATATGTACTTTTAACACCTTTCTTTTCATCCTTCTGAAGTTCACAAAATAAATACAGACCAGGAATTTTCACCAATGTTTCAGACATACAGAAGTTAGATTTCTGAACCCCTATAACATAACATAATTAAAATCATTGTAACAATTAAAATAACATAATAATAAATAACATATTTTTAAATTCAAAAATCACTAGTATCTACTCACAACCAGTGTCTTTGAGGCGGTTGATACCATTGGAAAGAAGACGAACACAACCAAGAAATCCAGCACCTTGTTTTTTATGGATCTTCTTGTGATTCCATACACTGATTGTAACTGAATCAGACTTTCCAATATACCTAAAAAATAAGATGGCAACATAGGTAACTTGGTGGTTACAAGTGATATAAAATTTTTCTTTTGTCCTTTTTATATTCTGAAGTTACAAATATATTTCAAAGTATGGCTAGCTAGGTCATGCAAAATCTGTTTTGATTTCAATCAATCTCCAGGTCTGAATTTAAATTTTTAAAAATCTTAAAATATATAGAAATAATTTTAAATATATCCTTGTCATACCTGCTACTCTCAGCATGGGTAACAATGCTTGTTAGTTTAAAAAAATAAAATAAAAAATAAAAGCTCTAGCAGCTAGTGTCTAGTAACAAGGAAGTTTATAACAATTATTTCTTTCTAAGAACAAAAATCCTAAAAAGTACTTCTATTGGTTACTCTTAAAATATAGTTCAATCACATGACCCACCATCTCAGAGACTTACTTCACTTTCAAGGGACATTGTCAAGGCTGACAGACCAAAAATCTGACCTACCTGTTATATTTTTAAATGTTGTAGAACAAAAGCTGTTTGTAACGCTTTTCCCCTGCTTCTTCCCTGTATGCAGGCCTTGAGGGAGCAGGACTCTTGTAGATTTCACTTTACTGCCTGCAGACAAGCAGAGCAGGGAAAAGCGTTACTGTTCTTGTCTATGCATATGTCTGCAATTACATAAAAGCTCCACCACAGCCAATTGTTAACATGGAATCAACCCATGCAAAAACATAACATAATTATATCAGTATAAACTAACTTCATTTCAAGACTCTAAGATGTCAAATTTTTGGTCCAGCAACCTTGATCATAAAAGTATCATTTAGTTTTAAAAAAATTACTTACTATATAAAAAGTATAAACCACTTAAATGAGGGCTAAAACTTTTAAATAAGAACATTGAAGGCATACTTGAGTCCCTGGATCCAGTTATACCTAAAGAATGTCCACCCAGGGTTCTTAATTATACAAACCAATCATTTCTTTTCTAAAATGAAGCCAATTTGAATTTGGCCTCCAATGCTTACAAATGAAAAGATATGAACTAAAATATCAATCAAGACACAAACACCAATTTTCCAACACATCTATAACATATATCTTGGTATGTATCTACTGCATGCGACGTCAGAATTCCAGAACCAGGATCAAGCATTAAACAAATAAATCACCTCAAACTAAACATTAAAAAAAAAAAAAAAAAAGCATGTTAAATCAGTTTCCCAACTAGCTGGCCTGAACTGTACATATGCTGAAATACGGATTTTAAAGGTAACAGAAATTTTTTAAAAATAATTTTTTTCAATTTTGGAGTTTTTTAAAATTAAGGCATTGTACATAGTAGTTGAGTTCATTTTGACAAAATCATACATGCAAGAAATTTGATTTCAATCCCCATTTCTCCCCACCCTGGCTGATCCTCTCCTTCTCCCTCCCCTTTTCTCCTTCCTCTACTCTACTGGTCTTCCTTTAGCTGCTTATTTTTTTGATTGGTACTTTCTAAATATGCATAAAGGCAAAATGCCCTTTGTTACCTTTATATATGCATGTAACATAATTTTGTTAAATTCATTCCATATTTCCTTCCCTTTCTCTTCCTCCCTCCTCATTCTCTACCTTCTACTCCACTGATCTTCCCTATACATTTATGATATCTAATTCCCCTGGCCAACCTTCTTTCCCATATTTTGCTCTAGCTTCTACATATAGGAGAATACATTCCCTGATTTTCTGAGTCAGGCTTAATTCACTTAGCATGATGTTCTCCATTTCTATTCATTTACCAGCAAATGCCATCATTTCATTCTTCTTTATGGCTGAGTAAAACTTCATTATGTGTATATACCACATTTTCTTGATCCATTCATCTACTGACAGGCATCTGGGCTGATTCCATAATTTGGCTATAGTGAATTGTGCTGCTATAAACACTGAAGTGGCTGTATCACTGCAGTATGCAGACTATAGTTCTTTTGGACAAATACAAAGGAGGAGGATAGCTGGGTCATATGGTGGTTCCATTTCTAGTTTTTAAGGAATTTCCACACTGTTTTCCAGAGTAGCTGTACTAATTTGAGTCTCAACAACAATGTATCAGTGTATCTTTTTCAACACATCTTCACAAGCATTTATTATTATATGTGTTCTTGATAATTGCCATTCTGATTGGAGTAAAATGAAATTTTTGTGTAGCCTTGATTTGCATTCCCTGATTGCTAAAGATGCTGAACATTTTTTCACATATTTGTTGGCCATTTGTGTTTCTTCTTTTGAGAAATTCTATTTAGGTTTTTCTGCATGCATACCACCACACGTTTTATGTACACTATGATGTGAAAAGATTGGAAATCTCTACATTAAGCTGTAATACACTTTTGGTAATTACAGACCTTCTGGAAAATAGTCAAACTATGAATTACTAAAAATCATTAATTGTACTGTACTGCTTAAGTGTACATGTCACAAACATTCTGTCCAAATATCCTGAGCCAGAAATGAATCAGAACTATAATAATTTTTTACACCTAGTGAAGTATCTGTTCTCAATTTAAGGAAACTTCATTCAATATAACATATAGCACATAAAAGTCAATCATTTTATAACTGAAAGTTAAACAGAGGTTTCTATTAGGTTCTACTAAAACTTCTTCAAAAAATATATGATTTATAAATAAGCCTCAGGACATTCTGTCATGAAGGATACTTCTATATGAAAACATAACATTATCATACAGACCAAAATATGATGTCTACATTAAAGATTTTTGGCTAAAATATAATTATCAGAATTTGTAAACTTAGCCAATTTAAGGTAAAGATTTTGCAAAATGATTCTAAGCATTTCCCTGATCTTTTCCCTTTCAAAGTGTATCTTGGAAACAAGCAAGATGAAATCTAGGGCTGGGGATGTGGCTCACTGGTGAGGTGCTTACATGATATGTGCAAGGCCTTGGGTTCAATCCCCAGCACACACACGCATGCACACACACACAGAAAGGAATCTAAGAAGTACATGAAAAGTTGCTCAATATTGCAGTTGGGCACAGTGGCTACACACCTGTAATCCCAGCAATCTAGGAAGCTGAGGCAGGAGAATCCCAAGTTCAACTCTAGCCTCCACAACTTAGTAAGGCCCTATGTAACTCATCAAGACCCTGTCTCAAAATGAAAAACAAAAAGGGCTGGTGATGTAAGAATGTAGTTCAGTGGTAAAGTATCCCTGGGTTCAATTGCCAATACCAAAAAAAAAAAAAAAAAAAAAAAAAAAATGCTCAACATTGTTAGTTAAAACCACAATGAAGTTATCAATTCATACCCACTAAGATCACTATATTTTTTTAAGAAAAATAATAAGCATTAGCAACAGAGGAATAGAGAAAATGCCCTGAAATTTTTCATATGAAAAACAATAATCAGGGCTAGGTTGTGGCTCAGCAGTAGAGCGCTCGCCTAGCATGTGCGAGGCCCTTGGTTCAATTCTCAGCACCACATAAAAATAAATAAACAAAATAAAGATGSTATTGTATCTAACTAAAAACTAAATGTTAAAAAAACCCACAATAATCACAAAAGACCAAAATTAGGATGCCATTAGCAATAATCTAAACTTGTACTAATCCAAAACCCATGCTGTTCCAGCCACATGGGATTAGTGAATATTTCAAATGTGGTTAAACCAAACTGAAGTGGGATGTTAGGTAGAAAGAAAATAAACCTCTGATTTCAAAGACAATATATGATATAATAGCTCAATATTTTATATTGAATGTATGTCAAAATGTCAATATTTTAGACACTGAAATTAAATAAAATATATTATGCTTCATTTCTTCTGCTTTTGTTTTTCAATATGGCTACTGGAAAATTTAAAATTACAGATGAATTCCCACTTGTGGCTCACATATTTCTATTGATGCTAATGTAGACCTTAAATATAATGGAGTAATGTATTTGAAATTTGGAACAAAAGTTATATCTGGGGCTGGGGATGTGGCTCAATGGTAGCGTGCTCGCCTGGCATGCGTGCGGCCCGGGTTCGATCCTCAGCACCATGAACAAACAAAGATGTTGTGTCCGCCGAAAACTAAAATTAAATATTTTTTAAAAATTCTCTCTCTCTCTCTCTCTTAAAAAAAAAAAAAAGTTATATCTGACCTTACAGTCTATACCCAAACTATCAGGTAAAAAGGCGAAATATATTATTAGATCATATCTCAAAAAATTTTTTCTATTTTTGCACTCTCAAAATGACAGTGGAAGATAGACTTCACCAAAACAGGGGAGTAAGCAAAACACAGGAAGTCACTGGAGCTAGAAGAAACCAAGGCAATTCCTGACATAATGATAAAGGCAAATCCCAGGACAACTGCAAGGCAATTCTTAGAGAACTACCAAACCAGATTAGAGTAAAGGACAGAGGGCCCTGGAAGGATGTCTCCAAGAAGAAAAATCCAATGGAATATCTAATAGGACTGAATGTATGGTGTGGATGTTTACTTCCGTAGCAGAATTTGGGAATTAATTAATGAGACAGAAAACAAGACAAATGACAGAGATAACTATTAACTTCAGAAACAAAAGTGGTCAAGACAGAAAAAATAATTCTTGTACACCATGTGATACAGCTCTGAATATTTACATAATCATATTCATGTAATCACAGAACAATGATTTAACTACAAAGGTTCATATAACTATACTAAAGAGCTAAAAGAAAGGAAGGGGCAAGTGAGTATCTTTATGGGAGTGGGGATGAGTGGTATTAGTTTTAAAAGCTTAATCATCTTCTCAGGTAGGAAATCTTAAAACATCTAAAACCAGGGCTGGGAATGTGGCTCAAGCAGTAATGCGCTTGCCTGGCATGTGGGGGGCGCTGGGTTCGATCCTCAAAACCACATAAAATAAAAAAAATAAAGATGTGTGTCCACCAAAAACTGAAAAATAAATATTAAAAAAAAATTCTCTCTAAAAAATAAAAATCTAAAACCAGAAACAAACAAAAAAAATAATGGAGATGCTATAAAATATTTTGAAATAGAAGAAAATATCAGAATAAACATCCAAACTCATTAAAGCAGTTAGTTTGAGAATGAGAATCGGGAATGAGAATGGGACCGAGAATACTGTTTTCCACTAAAAACCTTACAGTACCATGTGCCTTTTTTAAAAGGTGAATATACTATGATTAAAATATAATTTAAAGAAAGTAGACACCCAGAGAAGCAATTCTGATTCCTAGTTCTATACTTTTAACTGGCATAGAGTGAATTAATACTTTTATTTCAGTGAAAATGGGGGAGGTTCTATATTATGAGCCAGTTTTCCTTTTTTTTTTTTTTTTTTTGTTGGTACTGGGGATTGAATCCAGGCATGCTTTACCAGTGAGCTATATCCCCATTCTTTTTATTTATTTTTTTAAACTCTGACACAGAATCTCATTGTGTTGCTGAACATCTCACTAAATTACTGAGGCTGACCTCAAACTTGCAATGTTCCTGCCTTAGTATCCCTAGTAGCTAATATTACAGGCCACTATGCCTGGCCATTTTATTCTTCACAGGCTTTTTAGGGGTACTGCATCTTTCAAAACCAGGTATTAATAGGCCAAAGCACCTTTCCAGGAACTGGGTTTTGTACCTTTCCTGTGAACACCAAATTATACCTTTTCTAACTCAGACAATTTTCTATGATTCTTTTCATATAATATTAATTCTGTATTTTATTTCAAATTAATCATTTAAACCTACAGGTCATAATGCTGATTCCACTTTGGATCGAGTGTATTCTTCACAGTATCTGTAGAATGGCATTGCCCAGATCCATCAACCACCACTTTAGCAAATGGATCAGGAAGGCCTGTGAAGAAAGAGGAAGATTAGTGTTTTAAAGAATATTTTACCATGTAAGATAAAAGATTAATTACATAAAAATTACCATTTGCTACAAAACAAAAGATTGTTCCATTCTTTTTCAAAAGTTTAACATTCAACTACAAATGAAAGTGGCCTACTTTAAGCCACTTAAAGTCACTTCCACATCAAATACCAAAAGTATATTTTTTCTTGTTCCTGCCTCAAAACATTCTCAATTAAAGTACCAAAGTACAGAGTTTACCTCATACTGTGGAAGTTTCCAAGGACTATTACCAGCCCTTTGACCTCAGGAAGGTTCATGGCTCACCCTTTCCAAATGGCTCCCTTGGTAGCTCATTTAAAGAGCTCTTTAAATATAGGTTTTCACATAAGAACATGGGCTACAGATAATCAAATTAACCAACAAATTTTACTGGATAACCAACCATGTGCAATTACAGACTAAACAAGAAGGGTAAAATCTGCCATAAAGGAGCTTACTGTCATAATGGAGATATAAAACAACAAAAACAAGTGTTTGGCTGTACTGATTAAAATAGCAAACACTTATAATACTATATCAGGTAATATTCTAAATGCTTTATATATATATATATCCTTAATCCTCATAATAACCCTATGAGGTAGATACTGTTATTATCCCTATTTTACTGATAAAGAAACTGAAGCACCAAAGGATTCGTTAACTAGCCCACAGTAATAAGTGGGCTAAACTTCACAGTCTGAAGTTTAGATTCTAAACCCATACATATGCAGGCTGGCTTTCGAATACTTGCTCTCAACCACTATACTTCCCATTTACCACATGTTTAAACAATAAGTACAACAAATAAGAGCTCAGGAAACCAGGAGGACAGTTCAACTTCAAATAGTATATAAAGGGTGATAGGGCTTTATTATTTAAATAGTAAATAAAGAATGCCAAGGAGGGTATAATAATATTTAAAGGGCTTAGAGGAATCTAAACAAGGTATTTGTGCTAAAAGTAAGTATTATTTGGAGAGATAAGACTGAACTAGTAAGAAAAGCTTAAAAGTCAGAAAATAGGTTTGGAATAATTTAGCTTATCAGCAAGGCTACAAGTTCTTGAGCATGACTGTAAATACAGTCATATTTTTCTGTTAGTAGTATTCAGGGTAGACTAGGGAAAGGAAAGATCGTAGGCCCAGAGATTTCTGGGAAGTTGTTATATAATCCTACAGCAGGATGAGAAGCCTGGAATTAGGGAAATCACGTGAAAAGGGAAAGGAAATGACAGTTAAAAGACCTACTCTATTAATAAGAAACTACTGTTAAAGATGTCACCACAAAAACAGTCAGTGGTGCTTTCGACAAAAAGAAGAAAATCAGAGGAGGAACTAAAAACATTTAAGAAAAAAAATGAGAATTTAGATGTTAGATATAGTGAGAGCAGACTTCTTCATGAAAAAGGCTGAAAACACTAGAACAAAATGCTAGTAAGGTGTTGATAACTGGAAAAATTTTGCATCTCAAGATCTACAATAATTTTTTAAGTCAAGATCTAATTTTTCAAGATTCATAGACAGACAGAAATCAGTTATTCAAAGCTGGGCACAGTGGCTCACACCTGTGATCCCAGAAGCTCAGGAGGCTGAGGCAAGACGATCCTGAGTTCAAAGCCAGCTTCAGCAACTTAGAGAGGCATTTAGCAACTCAGCAAGATCCTGTCTCTAAATAAAATATTAAGTAGGGCTGGGGATGTTGCTCAATGGTTAAGTACTCCTGGGTTTCATCTCAGTACCCCACCCCTGCCCCCAAAAAAGAAAGAAATCACTTTATCCAGTTCTCCAAATCTGTGATCTATCACCTTCAAATAAACAAGGGAAAAACCAAACTTTAAGCATTAAGTTTTAAAGAAACTTAAGTTAGGATATTAAATCTATTTAATTATATTACTTTTAAAGTTTAGTCCTATTCATATTATTTCAGTAATACCTAACCATTTGTAAAAGTGTTTAATGGAAGAATATTTTTACCTCTTCCTTTAATAGCAGTTAAGTATTTTCTGGGAAGAGTCCACTCTAACTTGTTCTCTTGATTCTACTAAGTAAACATAAATGTATGCACGTATGGAAACAAAAGCAAACAAAAATCACATTTCTGGCTTTTCCTTTGGGTGTCATTTAATTAATTAGAGAATTAAGGATTAAGAGAAATAACTATTTCCACACAAACCTCCAGGTGTGGCATCCAGATCCTTAATGAAATAGAAAAGTCTGAATCCCAGGTACCTTTGTTTTTCTTTTGTTAAATGACACAACAAACCAAAATATAAGCTCTACACAAAAAAAAAACACCTGGGTTTCAACCTGATTGTTATTCTACAAAAATTTGAGAGTAAACTTACTCTAATGTGGTCAAAAGTGATCAAGTTTTCTGACACTAGTGAGACCTCTAGTGGTAAATATAAAGTGGCTAAAGTGTTTTCTGTATTTTAAAAATTTCTCAGTTCTCCCCATAATTTCAAGAACCTCCTTAATACACAAATGTACTCAGTGAATGGAAAGAATAACGATATATATGTATGTGCAGTTGTTCTAGAGAAGCAAGACTATTTATTTTTATATGGTGCTGAGGGTCGAACCCAATGCYTCATACATGCTAGGCAAGCAATCTACCTCTGAGTACACCTCCAGCCCTGAAATAAGTATTTTAAATTAAAATTGGATTTCTTTCCAAAAGAAACAAAACTTTATTTTTGATAGAATAAAGGCAAAAAGAAAACATTTAACGAACACATCTTGCTTCTAAATGACTTTGATTTGGCTTCTATAAAATATTTTAATACATCATCTTACACAAAAATATTTTTTGAATGTTGCATTAAAAAGAGAAAAAAATAGCCAGGCACAGTGATGCACGCCTGTAATTCCAGCAGCTTGAGAGGCTGAGGCAGGAGGGTAGGAGTTCAAAGCCAGCCTCAATAAAAGTGAGATGCTAAGCAACTCAGCAAAACCCTGTCTCTAAATAAAATAAAAAAGGACTGGATGTGGCTCAGTGGTTAAGCGCCCCTGGGTTCAATCCCTGGTGAGGGGGGGGGGCGGGAGGGGGAGGGAGAGAGGGAGAGAGGGAGAGAGAGGGAGAGAGAGGGAGAGAGAGGAAGAGAGAGAGAGAGAGAGGAAACAAAGACAATATCTCTAAAGAAAATAGATAATGGACATATGGATAGATACATGATAAAACTAACAGTAGTAGAATTTACATGTTTCCTCATGGTTGAAAATTTTCCTGCTGAAATTTTGGGGGAAGGGGGAAGTATTTTTTTTAAGAGACAATGATCTTGAAAACAGTTTCAAAATATGAGTTAACAAAACTTTACTAGCAAGGTAATTAATAGTTATTATGCCTTGGAACAATTGGTATCTCACATGCAAATTACTTTACAAAAGACAATACATGGAAGAATTTTTTTCAACATAGTAAAAAAATATTTATCTATTTCCTCACTCCATAGTTATTTTCCATAGTAAAATTTACTTTTCTCATTGAACACAATTTAAACTAAATCACAAGCAAAACTTACCTATGTTTTATTATTAATAATAACTGCATTCTGGGCTGGGGCTGAAGCCCAGTGGTAGAGCGCCCACCTCGCACGTGTAAGGCACTGGGTTCGATCCTCAGCACCACATAAAAATAAATAAAGATATTGTGTCCAACTACAACTAAAAAAAATTTTAAAAAATAATAACTGCATTCTGATCAATCATATACTCAAATTTTAAAATTTACAAACTCAATTTTCTCTGAAATTAATGTGGACAAGTCTCAACTTATAAAGAGGTCAAAAATATCCCAAAGTACAGGTGTGAATCTATCACAGCAGAGATCTAGAACCATGGTCAGTGTGAATCTGCAAGATATTTCCTCCCCTGGTTGACTCCTTTCTGAAGGCCTAAGATAAGCTCTCCTGTTTCCCTTCCCCGGCCATTAGGTATCTCCCATTCAGAGTTTTAAAAATAATCAGAGTTTTCCCTGATCTTATTATCCCTACAGCAAATCTCACTCTTTTTTCTTAAATTATTATTTTTTAGCTATAAATGGACACAATACCTTTGTTTATTTAATTATTTATTTTTATGTGGTGCTGAGGATTGAATCCAGTGTCTCACACATGCTAAGCAAGCACTCTACCACTGAGCTACAACCCCAGGCCCAGGTTCACACTTTTAAAATTATCATTTTTACTGCCTACACTAATGAATAAGGAAGACAGCCTTCTTTCTTTCAACTACAACTTAAGGAAGGTCCCATAAAGGATTACACTCAATTCTCAGAGGTTTACAAAGAATTGAAGTAAGATTCCTCTAGATTTTCAAGGAAAACTATCTGGACATTTTATTGAAGAAGCCATGCCTTGGGACTATGGGGGAAGGAAATTAATCTGAAAAGGAAGGCTGAGAGACAACATTGAAGGTTTTTTTTTGTTTTTGTTTTTGTTTTTTAACATTGAAGGTTTTATCTTCAAGCCATAGCAGATGTCCTAGAAAGTACAGAAGTAGCTGTAAGAGTGCTCCCTCACTTCATCCCTTTTCTCCTTATCACCAGCCTATCTAATCCTATCTGCTGCTCAGATCAACCTTAAGGAAAGTTAAGAAAAAAAGCTCACCTTGGTTATTAGGTTTTTAGTATCAAGGAGGAAGTGGATCATTGATTGCAGCATGATAAATTATAAACTGGTGGCAGCAAGGAGAGACTGGGAGTTCTATGGCCACTGAGCTCTCCCCTTGCTGTGACATCTTGTGTGATCAAGAGCTCATGGTATATGAATTAAAGACTGCTTGCAATTTTCTTCCTATGTTTCAAATTATTCTATTAAATGGCTTTCCCATGTAAACACAAAGGCACATGAAAAGATGTAACTTTATAGATTGTTATTTTTAAAACCTTAATTCAGGTTCTACTCTAGGAATTTTATTCCATGTGGAATAAAGTAAGTATAATTTTAAAACACAGTGGTGCACGACTGTAATCCCAGCAGCTCAGGAGGCTGAGGAAGAAGGATTCCCAAGTTCAGAGTCAGCCTCAGCAATTTAGTGAGATCCTGTCTCAAAATAAAAAACATAAAAAAGATGGCCAGGGATGTCACTCAGTTAAGTACCCCAGTTTTCAATCCCTGGTACCAAAAAATATAAAACATATCAAGAGCTTTTTTAAAAAACAAAAAAAAAAAAACACTCAAACACCTGAAAATTATACCATACCAAATCTGTACACACAGCGTGTTTTTCCTGGGTGACAGGCCTTAAATTTTAAAATCTAATGAATTGCTTTCTGTTTTTAATTTCAAATATTTTACATATAAAATTCTGTTGAGTAAGACATTTTTACTAAAAATTGTGTCATTTTTACTCAATAATAACTATTGTAAAGCATGAAATTACAAGGGTAAGATTTTTCACACACAAAAGGTACTTCCCAATCCTCTCTCACAAAACTTAACCCTAAAGAAAGCCACAAAAAATTTTACAACCACTTGTTTGTCATAAGCACATCTATAATCTACAATCAAATGTGACAGATTTCATTCCTACAACTCTGTAAATTCTAAGAAGGCTCAATAACTTTTTTTAACCTCCCATTAAATTCTAAAATTTATTGGTAAAATTTCCTACAAAATGTGAAAAAAGAAAAAAGTATTCAAAAATATTTTCTTAAAAATTTTCTAAAAACCTAGTAATATGCACAACTTTCACATGTATTACACACATCTGCATATACACACATTCATATAAATATCTAAAAGGGTAAATAAAAGGAAAGGGATTAAGGGTAAAAAGCACAAAATCCCCTAGAAAAATGTGATGCTTAATGGCTTTGAACCAAAGCATTCATAAAATAACACTGAGTATAAAACAACAATAAGTGCTGGTGAGGATATGGGGAGAAAAGGCACACTCATACATTGCTGGTGGGACTGCAAATTGGTGCAGCCAATCTGGAAAGCAGTATGGAGATTCCTTGAAAAACTGGGAATGGAACTACCATTTGATCCAGCTATCCCACTCCTCAGTTTACATCCAAAGGACTTAAAACAGCATACTACAGGGATACAGCCACATCAGTGTTTATAGCAGCACAATTCACAATAGCTAAATTGTGGAACCAACCCAGATGCCCTTCAGTAGATGTATGGATAGGGAAACTCTGGTGAATATACTCAATGGGATATTACTCAGCATTAAAGGAGAATAAAATCATGGCATTTTCAGGTAAATGGATGGAGTTGGAGAATATAATAATGAGAAGTAAGCAATCCCAAAAAAACCAAAGGCCAAATATTTTATTTGATATGAGGATGCTGACTTATAATGGTAATGGGTTGAGGGGGGGAGCATGGGAAGAATGGAGGAACTTTAGATAGGGCGAAGGGGAGGGAGGGGAAGGGAGGAGACATGGGGGTAGGAAAGACATGGAATTAGTTAGACATCATTACCCTAAGTACTTGAGTGAATATACGAATGGTGTGAAAATACTTTGTGTACAACCAGAGACTTGAAAAATTGAGCTCTATATGCATAATATGAAATGAATTGCATTCTGCCGTCATATATAACAAATTAGAATAAATAAATAATTTAATCTAAAAAAAAAACACCAAGTATCTCTCTGAATAGAGAAATTCCTAAACTAGACAATTCTGAAAATATTATCTAAAAAATTTTACAAAAGATATGCAAGATTTATATTTAAAGTTAATTTACTTACGGAAAAAATCCTTTTTCACCAAGTTTTTTGCACAGAGTACTGTAAAGGAAACAAAAAAATACATGGGAAAAATTAAAATAAAATGGTAAGATTGCACTGTTTCATTTTAAAACACTGAAAACAACAGTGGATAATTAAACCCTTACTGCAGTGCTTGTATGAAATATGATCACAAACTTTATCATTAAAGACTAACAAACAAAAGACAGCTGAACAGCAATGGTTGCAACTTTAGCAATGATCACCAGTAACAGCTGAGGGCAAGAAATGTATAAATCTGATATTCTTAATCAAGACCCAATTCCTATCTTCATCAAGACCTATTAGAAAAATCCAATGGCAATGAGAAAAATAATTCTAAGGGAAAGATCATAAATTCAGGTTGTCATGTCTATTTTAAGGATAAAATAATTTTACATTTAAGAGGATCATACACAAGACAAATGAGACATTTTAAAAATAACATGTTGTTACCATCAAAATGCCACAGAAACTTTGTAGGAGAAATAAATTACCATCCCCTAAATCATCAGCTCAATGACATGATGGGCCTAATCTTTTAAAATTTTAAATTAAAGCTAGAGATCACAAATCTGAATTTTCTTGCATTAAAGTATTACTTAAATAGAAGTATGTGAGTATATTAAAAGTCACTGAATTGAACACTTTACAAGGATAAATTTTACAGTATATAAATTATATTTCAAATTAAAAATTGCTAGTTATATAGAGCCATATGTCTTTAAATCAACTTCATTAGAGAAAAAGGTCCATTTTCATATATTCTTAATTAAATCTATACAATATATATGTAATGTATGGCTAATTTGTATCCACTTCTATTTGCAGTTTTAGTGATCTGTTTCATTAATTATAATTACTGGAAGTTTAGAGTATAAAACTCACTTGATAAAATAAACTTGGGTAAAAGTCTAAATTTAAGCAACCACTTTAGAAATATAAATAAATATTTTGAAAACAGATGTTATCAGTAAATAAATGAAATAGCAAGTAAGCACAATGAGTTACTTGTCAGAATCTCAGACCATAAAAAATCATGGAAACCAGAGCTATACCTAAGAAATACCAAATTACAAACTGGATTCAAAAGAATCTCTCCCCAAATTTTTATCATCATATAAACATACATTCAAACCCAAAATTATAATCCTTGATATTAATGAGGTGATTTTTTTTAAATATTTATTTATTAGTTATTGGCGGACACAACATCTTTGTTGGTATGTGGTGCTGGAGGATCGAACCCTGGTCGCACGCATGCCAGGYGAGCGCGCTACCGCTTGAGCCACATCCCCAGCCCAATGAGGTGATTTTTTAAGCCACGACTTATCCCATAATTCATTAAGTGAAACCATTTCAATTCCTATTTTAAAGAATTTTTTAAAAAATGAAAATTTCTCTAACTTCTTGTCACAAACTTACTCTTTTCATACTTCCCCCCCTCCTTTCACTTACAATGCCCACTCTCCGGTCTCTAGATCTCATATACACTCTACCAGAGTGCCACCTCCCACATCTACCTTGTCTCCGCTTTGTCAGCATTTAAATTTACTCAAGTCCTAAGCAAGTTTCCCTCTAGCAACCTGTTCCCTTTCTTATGATACTTCTTCAAAAGAACTGTCTACACTTTGATTTCACTTCTTTATCTCATTCCAACACCTCAATCCACTTAATTTGTCTTATTCCCTCATCACAAAATGCTTTTCTCCAAAGGCTTAGGGACCTAATTATTAAATCCATCTAAAGGATATTTCCATTCCTTATCACGCCGGACCCTCAGAGGCATTTACCATTATTGACTACTCTCTCTTCTGGAAGCTCTCTCTCTTTTTGCTTCTGTTTAAAAGCACATTCATATAGTGCATAAAACTCATTCTAAGTCTTCCTTGCCAGATCTTCTTATACTCCATCCATAAAAGTTGAGGTTCTTTAGGGTTTTGTCCTAGGTCCTCTCTTTTTACTCCATAACCTGAGGATTATAGATGCCCATTTTTTGGTAAACTTTGGAATTATATGTAAATTTCTATCAGTATGTGTATTTTTCTAGGAAAAGGAACTCCTAACTTTCCTGGAAGAGAATTCACAAATTGATAACACTCTTCCTCCTTCTAGAAATATAATTTTGAAGGGCTGGGGTGGTGACTCAGTGGTAGAGTGCTCGCCTAGCATGCATGAGGCACTGGGTTCGATCGATCCTCGGTACTACATAAAAACAAACTAATGTATTCACCTAAAACTAAAAAGATACATACATAAATAAATAAAAAGAAATATAATTTTGAAGAGTCACTTTTCCATATATTCTCCTGAGTCTTTACTCCTTTACTCTATGGTTTTAATGATACCTCAATCTCAAAATCTTAGCTATATCCAAAACTAAATATGTTCACAAATGAAATCACCATCCTCCTCTGCCCCCAAAACTGCTCCTCCCTCCAGTTTCATTCAATAAACAGCCTTGCTTTCCTCTCTTTTGCCCAAGTCAGAAACTGACACAGCAATCTTCACTATTCCTCTCTCTCCCCATCTCTTGGCAATTACCAATTCTAATCAATTCTCTCTCTGATATATCCCTCATCTGTCCACTTCTCTCTAGATGAGTACCACAGCACCTTAGTTCAAGATCACTATCAACCAGTGTCTAGAAAATTGCCATAGCCTCCTAATTAAGTCTCCTGCCTCAAGGCTCACCCCCACCAGTTATACATACTTGACCCAAAGTGATCTTTCTAAAAATGTGCTCTCACCCATTTCCCTTCCTCCCATCCTTAAAGAACGGTCTTCTGACCCAAAATTATATTGGCTTCAATGCCCTTCAAAAGCTCTGGCTTCGTGGCGCTGGCCTCACACGTTCAGGGCCCTGGGCTCGATCCTTAGCACCACATAAAAATAAATAAATATAAGAAAAAAAAAAAAAAGAGCTCTGGATTCTATTACCTCTTTGTCCTCATTTTTTTTTTCATCAAAACTCCCCCTTAAATCCCCAAGTATAAAATCCAGCCATACTAAACTTTCACTTTCTCAGAGGCACTCCCATTTCTCACATGACCAGAGCCCTGAGATGGCATTTCCACTGTCTCAAAAACATTCCGCCAGGCTTCTTCACCTGCTCATCTTTTAAGTCTCAAAAAGGGAAGGAAATCTTTTACAGCATGTTTCTCTTAACCCTTGACAGACTTGTATTTTCCCCATACTTATGACAAGCACTTTTCACATTTCATTATAACTTTTTAAGTTTAAATTTTTCTTTATAACTATGGCGGTAGCAAACTCCTTATTGTACAAATCATGTCTCCCTTATCTCTTTTTATCTGGCATCTGATGAGCACTCAGTATCTACAGAATGAATGAAACTGACTCCAAAATAACTCAAAAATAGTTTCATTAAACAGGATATTTTTTAAACTATATAGCAGATAAATTACCAATTCTGATATAATCATGATTTTGACTTATGAAATCCATTTTAAACACACTTTCAGGTCATGTTTAATACTTTCTTTTGAAAATCACAAATCAGATGCTATTAAGGGCAACTAAAAAAATAAAATGAACATTAAAACAAGTTTGAAAGTTTATGAAGAGAAATTGTATTTTATTAATTAAGAGACTAGGAAAGATAACATCAGGGTCCTAAAAGAAACAAGACTTAGTTTAAAATATTAAATTATCAAAATTGCCAAATTGCTATCCTTAATGCTGGATTCTCATCAGCTCCAACCAGTTTTGCATAATTATTTTATGCCCTGGAAGCAAACACTCTTATTTGTAATTTTTAAAAGGAAGATTACCAAACATGATCTGAGAACTGGTAATTTTATTTATTTGTATAAATAAATTATTTTCACACATTACAGATTTTACTGAACTGTTTTGGTTTCCTGGGAATTTATCTCAGAGACTAGACCAACAGCTCTGTGGCCTTTCATCCACGTAAGTACCAATTATAGGAGTTTAGTGAAATGCTCAAAAAATTCATGAATTTCAATATGACAACTCCTGATTACTTCACAATAATGAATTTTCAATTAAGAATGTGTATGAGATTATTCTGAGGAAGGTACATAGACTCTTTTTTTTAATAATGAAAAGTAATACTAAGTTGGGGAGTTCTGAGGCTCAGGAGGAGTGGCAGTCTGGAGGAGATTTTATTTCTTTTGTATGTTTCTTTCATTTTTTAAAACATTTTTTAGTTGTAGATGGAGACAATATCTTTATTTCATTTATTCATTTTATGTGGTGCTGAGGATCGAACACAATGCCTCACCAGCTACAGAATTCACTAGGGGGCTGGGGATGTGGCTCAAGCGTTAGTGTGCTCGCCTGGCGTGCGTGCGGCCCGGGTTCAATCCTCAGCACCACATACAAAGATGTAGTGTCCACCGAGAACTAAGAAAAAATAAATAAATGTTAAAATTCTCTCTCTCTCTCTCTCTCTCTCTCTCTCTCTCTCTGTCCCCCTCTCTCTCACTCTCTCTTTAAAAAAAAAAAAAAAGAATTCACTAGGGACAATGTCTCAAACCATCTGTAGGTGCACAGTAGATTAAATTTATAATACTACTTTGATCATGTTATAATCTTCCTTCAAAGTATTTTTCACTCTTAAGTCTACATCCCCAAAACCTATCTTGTTGTATTTAGTCCACTTGCCCATTCTTCAGATAAATGATTTGAAATGATTAGGAGATATTCCAAATAAATTAAGATAAGCTATGCTAAAGTATACGGATAATGTTTATTTCACATGAATACAGCAATAATCATCTTGAGATGCTTAATGAGAAGGGGATACTTCCTACATTTCTTAACTTTATTTTTACTTGTCTTCTTAAAGAAACATAAAAAAGAGGGCTGAGGTTATGACTCAGTGGTAGAGTGCTTCCTACATTTTTTTCGTTCAATATTTCCTGAACATTCACTTTGTGCCATGTACTAGAATAGATTCCTTAGCTACAAAGATAAATAAGACATGATCCTTTGCCCTTAGAACTCACAGGTCAGCTACAATTCAAATATTT